GTGCTTTAATATGGGTGGACTTCATTTCCCAGAATCCTCCAGCCGATGTGCTTTAATATGGGTGGACTTCATTTCCCAGAATCCTCCAGCCGATGTGCTTTAATATGGGTGGACTTCAGTCCCAGAATCCTCCAGCCATGATGCTTTAATATGGGTGGACTTCATTTCCCAGAATCCTCCAGCTGATGTGCTTTAATATGGGTGGACTTCAGTTCCCAGAATTCCCCAGCCAATGTGCTTTAATATGGGTGGACTTCAGATCCCAGAATCCCCCAGCCACCATTCTTTATTATGGATGGACTTCAATTCCCAGAATCCCCCAGCCAACATGCTTTAAGATGGATGGGGCTCAACTCCCAGAATTCCCCAGCTGGCATACTTTACAACTGCCCCGAATTATGACCAAATTGGGGGCTTAAGGTCGGAGGTCAAAGACTACCTGCGCTTAAATTCAGTCTTTTTTCCCCCCAACTTTAGCAACCGTTAAGATTTGTGGATTCCAATTCCCAGAATTCCCCAGCGGCCCAGTTCCAGCCCGCCCTTCCCCAAATCCGAGGCTCAATCAGCTGTCACCCCTAAAATTTAGGATTACTCAATTGAATAAATGACAGCTTTCATCTTGGAGGCTGAACCAGAAGGGAAGGTGTGCAACGGATTGTCGGTAAGCAGTCGCAAAATCCCAAAATTAGCCGTATCTGCAAGACGCATCCCTTTGGGGCCAAAATTGCAAAGGATGCAACCGTCACAACTGGAGGAATTTTGGCTGCAAGTCATCCAGTAAAAGGAACAGAGTTTGATTGACAGCTGTAACCACTAGTCAGGGCCACCTAATCTGCTAATCTGCAATTAATCTCTCCCCAAACCACCAATCTCAAAAGTTTTTTCCCGAAATGTCCCAATTTCTCCAATATTTTGTCACCTTCAGTCCCCGCTTTTAAAACCGCCCCTGGGAGGAATTTTGATTTCCAATTTACAGGTAGCCCTCAATTTACAACGGTTCCGTTTAGCGACCAAAGTTACAACGGCGCTGAAAAAAGGGATTTTTCACACTTACGACCGTTATAGTATTCCCCCCGGCCACGTAATCAAAAATTCAGACGTTTGGCAACTGTCTCGTCTTTACGACAGTTGCGGGGTCCCGAGATCCCCTTTTACAACCTCATGATGGAGAAGCCAGACTCGCTTAACGACCACGTCCCTCACTTAACAGCAGGGATTCACTTAACAACGGTGGGCAAGAACTCCTACCGTGGGGCAAGAGTTAACACGTTTCTCGCTTAGCCACGTCAATGTTGAGCTCAATTCAGTGGTGGGTTGCTACCGTTTCGCCCCAGATCGGGCGAAATGGTAGCGGCTGCGGGAGGCTCCGCCCACCTGCCCAGACGCTTCTGTGCACACCCACAAACGAACTGGTAGCGCCGGGTTTTGAAATTGCGGTCGTAAGGGCAAGGACTGCCTGTAACAAGACTGTTAACGGTAGCGTTGAAAGACCCCCCCCTCCCCAAACTGAGGTCAAAGGGCAGCTAAAATTGAAAGGGAAGGGAGGAAAAAAAAAGAATTTTTAGCAAACGCTGCGGGAGAAAAAAAAAAAAACAAAAACAGAAAACACCCTGAAACCGTAAATAAGAAACATGTGGTTTTTTTTCCATTTAATACTAGAATCTCTCAATATTTGAGATGCAGGCTCTTATTTTTTTTTTTTTTTTTTATGCAATTACATCCAATGTTAAAATTGGTAATACATAATTTACAAAGATTAAACATCAAAACAATTGTCTATTTAGATATGCTTTTGTAAAAAGGAAATATATTAGCAGCAATTCTTCTCAGTCGCCACACGGCTTTTGTCCCATGCAGGCTAAAAAGAGTTTTGTTATCTCCACTTTGCCACAAAATGTAGTGCTTTTTGTTTTTCTTTCTTTCTTTCATTATTTTCTTTCTTTCTTTCTTTTTTTTTAAAATTTTCCTGGGCCTCTTTCTTTATCAGGGTTGTGTTTTTGTTTGAAAACAACGGGTCTCGGTCTCCTTTTTAAGTTTTCATACAAAATAACCTTCCCTTTCCCTCCCAAGCTGTCCCGATTTATTTGATTTTATTTCTCCTCCTAAAAAGTCAGCGATTCTCTCTACAAACCGAGTTTTAAGAAAACAAAGCCAAAAAATAAAAATAAAAATATTTTTTTGGGGAAAAAAAAAAAAAAAAAGCAAACACAAATTCTTCGTGCTTCTCTAGAATTTGATTGTCTAAAAAAATCATCGGCTTCGTCTTTATTTACTCTTTCCAAAAAAAAAAAAAAAAAAAAAAAAAGAAAGATTTCTTTCTTTTCTTTTAAAAATCATCATCATCATCATAATAATAATAAAAAAAACAACGGCAAAGTTTTAGTGTCTCGCATCTCGCGTTCCCCCGGGCACGCTTGAATTTTTTTCTTTATTTTTTTTAAAAAAATCAACATTATTATTCTTCTTCTCTGCTCCACTGTCAGCGACATCGAACATTATTATTATTTTCTCTTTAAAAAGGACTTTTTTTTTTGTTTTTAAACCTCTCTCTCTCTCTTTTTTAGTGTTTGACACCATTTCGAGACCAAAAAAAAAATAAAAAAAAATAAAGTATTCCCGCCCGCTCCCGTTTTTCGAACTCGGCGCAACTAAAAAAGAAACAAAAACACAAATTATTGTTTCTTTCCCCCACCCCCACTTGCAACTCCCTTATTTTTAAAACATGCGATTTTGTGGTTTAGTCCCGCACGACACAAACATTTTGAGTATCACATACTCTTGGGGAATCTTGCTATACAATTGCTTCTCTACAGTAAGAAAATATTCCAAACGGTGGGTTTTTTTTTTTTTAACTCCTTTTGTCTTTTGTTGTCGTTTTTCTTTTTTAATAAAATATTTTTCTTTTGCACCGCGAAGGGCCGTCGTTATTTGTCCCTCTCGGTTTTATTCTCCCCCCCGATCTCGAGAAAACCCCTCTTCACTTTCCCCGTTTCCCCCCCTCCCTCCCGTCAAAATCCCGCATTATTATTATTATATATTTTTTTTTTGTTAAAAACCATTGAAATCGTCCGGTTTATGAATGGAATGGCGCCTTGGTTTCTGTTGTTATTGTGTTTTTTTTTTTCTCCGTTGTGGTTTCAAAACTAAGATCAAAAGAAGAATTAATATAGTCAACGAGAAAAATGTACAGTGATTGGACAACAAAAATTGGTCCGTCCGGAAGGAACATGGAGAAAGAGAGAAAGAAAGAGAGAGAGAGAAAGAGAGAGAGAGAAAGTTACCATATTGCTTTACAATCACACGAGAAAAAAAAAAAATTAAAAAGGAAAAGGTTTAAGATATATACAACTTGGCACATTTAAAAACAGGATTTTTGTTTATAAGGACACCAAAAAACAGGACCAAGAATATGCATGTGAACGCCGAAAAGACGAAGAGCGGGAAGCCACGTTAAAGAGCCAGTGTAAAAAAAAAAAAAAAAGGAAAAAAAAAGAAAAACCTCCGATTTTTGTGTGGGGTTTTCGCTGCTGGGGAAAACTTTGCAGAAAGTCTCTCCTTTTTTGATTTTCCCCGCGTGAAAAGTCTGGATTTTTTTTTTTTTTTTTGCAGCAAACCAGAGGGGGGAGAACAGAAGAAGAAGAAAAAGAAAAACAAACAAACCGCCCCCCCCTTTGAAAAAATCCTTATTTTGTTTTTGTCTTCCATGACGATTTTGATTTTTTATTCCCCCCACCCCACACCTTTTGTTCCTGGCTGAAGAGGCGGAGTGCGAAATACACTGCCTCTTTAAGAGGCAGCCGCTTGGTGAGCTGTACAGTTTTTGTCTTTCGAAATTTAAAAACAAACAACAAAAAACACGAGGGTTTAAAAAAAAAAATCAAAAAGGAAAATTAAAAAAAAGGGGGGAGGAAAAAAAAGCCCGCAAAAAGAGTAGTGTCATCGGTGGGTCCAGTCGTCTCGACAGCTTCGCGACAAGATGCTCGCTCGTCCGCTCGCTCAGAAATACTGTTTCCACGGTTCGTGTAGTGAAAAAGGAATATATATATATATATATTTCTCCTTCTCATATCATTGGGGCGTGGGAGATTTTCTCTGGGTTTTCCCACCCTCCCTCCTTCTCGAATTTCCTGCCCCCTGCCACGATATACACCGGACTCACGAGAGAACGACAGCTGAGTACGAAAGCGGGCAGGAGGGGGAAAAGGTGATAAAAAAAAAAAGAAGAAGAAGAAGGGAAGAAAGAAGAGGAAAGGAAAAAAACGAAAGCGAAAAGACGGGAAAAGCCCGCAAGAAGGGGGGAGCTATTCTGAACCCGGAACCTGCTTTAAAAAAAAAAAAAAAAAAAAAAAAATTCTCCGCAACAGGAGGGGGAGGCAAAAAAAAAAAAAAAAAAGAATTTAAAATTAAAATTAAGCGCAGCATCCTCTTTGTCCCGTCCTCCCGTGGGATGCACGACGTGGAACCCAAGTGCTTCCGAAAAATCCAACCGTAGTTTCCCTGGGGGGAGGGGGGGCAATCCGTAGGGAACGCGAAGCTTCCTGTGTGTGCAAAATGTCCGGTAAGGAAATTCTCCCTCCCTCCCCGCGGTCTCGTTCCGGTGCCTGTCAGAGACAGGTTTTTAATTTTTTTTTAATATATAGAGATATATATATATTTATATTTTGCTAGACCTCGGGGGGGCCACGCAGTGCCCGGATAATTCCCCGGATTTTGGAAAGGGCAGGACCGACGAGGTGCCCGTGGGAGGGGGGGGGGCAGCAGGGCAGGTGCCCCCCACGCTTTTGTAGGCGACGCCTTGTTTTTCTCCCTCTGGATCATCGGAGTGAAATGGGGCAGGGGAATCAAAAAGAATAAATTAAATTAAAACGGTGACCGTCCCGTCCCCCTCCGTCCCCGTCCCCCCGAGGAGAGAGGCTGTTTTTTTTTTTTTCCCAAGTACCTTAAGGGGAACGGGGTGGCGGGGCTGGCCCCCCCCCCCCCCCGTCCCCACAGTGCTGAAGGCTCCTGGGGGATGTGGGTGGGGAGGGGGTGAGTGGGTGGGAGGGGGCTTGCCTGCCCAAGTGCAGGGACTAAGTGCTACAGAACCGTTTCGTCAGTTTCCTTCTGCTCGGCCGGACCGCGAGGGCTTCGGCCTCTTCTTGCCACCGGTTGCTTCTTCCAGGAGGGCTGAGAGACGCAGGATGGCGGAAAGTCCAAAAATCCCGGCCCGGCTGTCAGTCTTAACGCCCGGAGGAATTGCAAGACGCACCCTTGCTGCAGGGGGTGAGGGGGAGGGGCGCGCGGGCAGTGTGCGGGAGGGGAGAAAAACACATGGACGCGGGTTCACTTCCTGCAGCTGCTCTCGGGGAGGAGGAGGGTGCGACGTCGCAGCTTCCTTCCGGAGCCTTCCTCCAACAGGTAGGTGACGTCGATGGCTGTACGGAGAAGGGGGGGGGGGAAGCGGAGACAGAGCAGAAAGGTTAAGGAGAGGTTTAAAAGATGATAGGATGAACAGCAAGACGGTCGTTTTTTGTTTTGTTTTGCGGGTGGAAATACATAAAGGGCTGCTTTGGGGAGGAACGGGGGGGGGGAAGAGATGGAGTGTCCAGCGGGCATTTACCAGACCGTTTTCAGAGCAGGGACTCTTCCAGAACACAGGATAACAGAGTTAGGAGGGACCTCAGAGGTCTTCTAGTCCAACCCCTTAGCAGGAGATACTACAACATTCTGGACAAATGGCTATCACAGTGTTTCTTTAAAAATCCGTGATGGGGGGAAGGAAGGGAGAGAGGGAGGGAGGGAAGAGAGAGAGAAAGTTGAAGGGAGCTTGGAGGTCTTCTAGTCCAACCCCCTGCTCAAGCAAGAGACCCGAGACCAGTCCAGACAAAGGGTTATCCAGTATCTTCTTGAAAACAGATGGAGATGGAAGAAATGAAGGAATATACAGATACAGAGGAAGGGAGGAAGGAAGGAGAGAGGAATGAATGAATGAATGAGTGAAGGAAGGAAGGAAGGAAGGAGGAACGAAGGAATGAAGGAGAGAGGAAGGAAGGAAGGAGAGAGAAAGGAAGGGAGGGAGGAAGGAAGGAGGAAGGAAGGAAGAAAGGAAGGAGAGAGGAAGGAAGGAGGAACGAATGAATGAAGAAAGGAAGGAGAGAGGGAGGAAGGAAGGAAGGAGAGAGGAAGGAAGGAAGGAAGGAAGGAGAGAGGAATGAAGGAAGGAGGAAGGAAGGAAGGAAGGAGAGAGAGAGGAAGGAAGGAAGGAAGGAGAGAGGAAGGAAGGGAGGGAAGAGAGAGGAAGGAAGGAGAAACGAATGAAGGAAGGAAGAAAAGAAGGAAGGAAGGAGAGAGGGAGGGAGGGAGGAAGGAAGGAAGGGAGGGAGGGTTCCAGGGAAACTCACCGTTTTTTCCTGGGATTCTCTCTAAGAGGGTGAGGAGTATTTGGTTCAGCCGCTCCCGCTGCAGGTGCCGGCGTTCTTCCGGGCTGCAAGGCTCCCTGGGCTCGGGGCTGCCCTCCTCTGCCTTTTTATCCAGCTCGACGTTTTCCAGGGAAGGGGCCTCTTTCTCGGGCTCCTCGGGGTGGGCTGGCGGCTCTCCAGGAGGGGGCTCGGGATTGGCGATCCCCTCTTCCGGAAGGGGGAGAGGCTCCTCCTCCTGAGGCAGGTCTTTATTTTGGGACTTGGAGCGGTCGGACTTCCAAGATGACCTGGGAAGGGAGAAAAAGGGAGGAGTGATGGAATAACAGAGCTGGAAGGGGCCTCAGAGGTCTTCTAGTCCAACCCCATGCCCAAGCAGGAGGCCCTATAACTTTGCAGACAAATGGTTGTCCAATCTCATGGGGCACCCACAACTTCTGGAGGGAAGTCGTTCCAGAGAGCCTGAAAGATGGGGAGGGGGCTGTTTGGCAGGAAGGGGTGCTTGCCCCTCACCCCAAGAAGTCTCCACGATCACCACAGATTTGAATTGTAAGATGGACTGTAAGAGGCACTTTTTTGTCTCCCAAAAGGGGGTGAAAATGTCTGTGTGTCTTATAGACCGAATATTGCTGAAGCCTTGCCCACCCGTTGGTCGTTTTTTGGTCTCCGCATAGGCCTTTTTCAGGGCTTTTTTTGGCCTGTTTTCAGGGCTTTTTTCAGCCTGTTTTCGGAAAAAAACGGGCCGAAAAAAGCCTTGAAAATGGGCCAATAAAAGCCTCGAAAACGGGCTGATAAAAGCCTTGAAAATGGGCCAATAAAAGCCTCAAAAACGGGCTGAAAAAAGCCTCGAAAATGGGCCAATAAAAGCCTCGAAAACGGGCCAAAAAAAAAGCCTCAAAAGCAGGCTGAAAAAGTCTCAAAAACGGGCCAAAAAAGCCTTGAAAACGGGCCGAAAAAAGCCTTGGAAACGGGCCGAAAAAAGCCTTGGAAACGGGCCGAAAAAAGCCTTGGAAACGGGCCGAAAAAAGTCTCAAAAACAGGCAGAAAAAAGTCTCAAAAACAGGCAGAAAAAAGCCTCGAAAACGGGCCGAAAAAACCCTCAAAAACAGGCAGAAAAAACCCTTGAAAACGGGCAGAAAAAAGTCTCAAAAACAGGCAGAAAAAAGCCTCAAAAACAGGCCGAAAAAAGCCTTGAAAACGGACAGAAAAAAGGCTGGAAAAGGGTTAGGCCCAAAACTTTTTGTTGTTATTTTCCTCTTCTAAATTTAAGTGTGTCTTATAGTCAGGTGTACCTTATAGTCCAAAAAATACGGTACCTCAAAGGGCTGTGGTGAAGGTGTTTTCACACAACCATCAAGGGGACTCACCTGCCTCCGTTCCTCTTGTAGTTGTCAGGTACGTAATGAGGCTGAAATGGAAGAAAAGAAAAGAAAAGAAAAAAGCCCATCAGATTCAATCTCCAGGGTATCTTGAGGCCCATCAATCAAAGAGAGGTCATCCCAGGGAGGGAGAGGTTTGGGAAACTGAGGCAGGGCCAGGCAAAAATCTGGTTGCAGACTGTGAAGCGTTAACCACCAACCACAGCGTATCCAAATGTTGAAAGTTCCCGATTAAAAGGGGAAGAAATTGATAAGAGTACAGATAGTCCTTGACTTACAATTAGCGACCGTTCGAAGTTGCGACGGCATTGAAAAAAAAAGTGACTCATGCCCGTTTCTCACACTTACGACCGCTGTAGCCTCTCTGTGGTCGTGTGATTTACATTCAGTTGCTTGGCAACTGACTCAGATTCTGACGGTCACAGCGTCCGTGTGTGTGTATGCATGTCACATGATACCCTGTTGCAACCTTCCAACAAGGGGGGGAATGCCAGATTCGCTTCCCGGCCTGGTGGCTAATTTAACAACGGCAGTCGATTCGCTTAACGAATGTGGCAAGGAAAGTCGTAAAAACGGTGTGGTGGTGGGGGGCGCGAACTCACTTCGCCGTCTCCCTCGGTGACTAAATTTGGGGGCCCCGCCGTGGTCGTGGAGCGGAGGGGCAACCTGAATTTTAAGGGAGGCGGTCGCGGGGGGCTACCGGAGGCTTCTTTGCCGAGGAGGGTTGAAGTTGCTTACCGAGAAGTCTCTTTTCGGCGCCAGCCGTTTCGGGAAGTGGTCGAAGGCGTAGGATTTGGTGCAGACTGGATAGCGGTTACGATGGATTTTGTAGAAGAGATGGGCCGACTTGTCCAGCCGATAATCGCAGATGTAAACGTCTGGCTCCTTCGCCCCTTTGGGTCTTCCTGAAAGTGGGGGAGGGAAGGGGGGAAGAAGTTCTCAAGGTCATTCTCCGCCCCAAAGACCACCAGCCCTTCCTTCGATTGAGGGGGGCGGGGAGGGGGCAACCATTTGTCTGAGGCAGGCGGGAGGAAAGCCGCTTCTGGGATCTGGCCGACTTGCCTTTGCAGTAGGTGTAGAGATCCAGCACGCAGCAGGTCCCCACCACCGCCTCCAGAGGGATGATCTCGTACAGTGGCACCCGGAAGAGCTCGTTGTGGTAGAACTTGCGGGAGGGCGAGTGGTGGGTTTCGTGCGGGCGGAAGTAGTGGTGGCCGAAGGCGAAACGTTCCCCCCTGCAGGAAGGCGAGAAGCAGAGGGAGTCCCCCCACCTAAAGCCGCTGTGCTCAAAAGAGGAGGCTCCTCTGGGCAACCAACAGTGACTTGGAGGGTTTGTGGGGGGTTTTTTTGAATTTGAACTCACAGCCTGTTGCTGATCGTTGCTTTAAGGTAGGATTTCTTCAGTTTTAGAAACTTTAAGAGGACTTCAATTCCCAGAATCCCCCAGCCAGCGTGCTTTAAGAGGGATGGACATCAGCTCCCAGAATTCCCCAACCAGAATGCTTTAAGAGGAGTGGACTTTGACTCCCAGAATTCCCCAACCAGAATGCTTTAACAGGGCTGGATTTCAGCTCCCAGAATTCCCAGATATAATAGTTTAAAGTGGTGTGGACTTCAAGTCTTGGAATGCCATGCTGGCTGAGGAATTCTGGGACTTGAAGTCCACACCACTTCAAACTTTCAAACGTGAGTGCTCTAAGGAAGCTTTTTGGATGAGAAGCGAAACAACTGAACACAAAGATATTTTTTTTTTTCTGCTGAACATCTATTTCCCACAGCCCTGTCTTAGGCCTAAAGGTATTTACACCACGTAGTAGGGGCTGTATTGCTCTTATCCTTCCCATCTACCTATGTGGGGGAAGGTTTTATATCTTCAAAAACTTGTGAACTGCCGGCCAAAAGAACCAGTGAAAAACTCCTGCCATGTTTGCCGTGAATTCACGGCGTCCACCGCAACCATTTCCAGCATGGCTGAAAGGCAAAAATAACTTTTTTTCCCCCCGTGGAGGAAGACGTGAAAAACTCACTTCTCATTTTTCCACAGCTTCTCGATCCGGAAGATATCCAGCCTTTCGCGGTTGATGTGGGACAGCAGGCGGTACGACTGCCGGACCGGGTGGCCGTCGGGGGTTCTTCGGCTATCTCGCATCAGGTACACGCAGTCTCCTGCGGACGGGAAGCAGAGAAGAGCCTCAAATACATCGGCAGGGGCGTAAGGGAAAAAAGCAAAACAAAGCAGGAAAAGAACGAGAAAAAACCCCAATGGAATTTGAATATCCCAACAGCTGTTTCAGAAGGTGACTGCCTTCCCCATGCTGCAAGAAACAGACTCCCCATAAAGAAAAAAAAAATCCACTTTATTTACACTTTGGGAATTAACTGCCTTCACCAACAGAAAGTCCAGGCAAGAGAGTCCAGGTTAACTAAAACAAAAGTCCTTATCAGCTCCTTAGGATAAATGCAAGGCCGTGAGCTCCCAGCCTGGGAGGCTGCCAATTAAGTCAGTTCAAACAGAGCAATAGACAGACCTCAGTTCTGGCAATGTCGCACGAAACACACAAGGAGCAAACTTTCCAGAAATACGAACGGTTGTCTCCTACGACAGCCACTCCCTTTTCCTATTTATTCCCTGTGCTTGGATACCCCTCACTAGTGAGCGAGAACAGAACCCGGAGACCCTGTAGGGAAGGGAAGAGTTATCCCACAGCCCCTCCTGGCTGCCTCTCACTCCCCCCCCCGGGGGCAGACACCCACCTTGGCGGAGCAAGAGATCGTCCCGTAACAGACAGATGAAGTAAACGCAGCCGGGTTGGGTGTAATGAGGCCGGGGAATCATCGGTACCTCCTAAGGGAAGACGAGAGAAATAGGAGGAAGGGCCCGTGGGGGGAAAACAACCAAAACAAGAGAGAAAGCTTGGCTTTCCTACCCTTAGGGATTGTTTCAAAGGTTTCCAGGGTGGTTCAAAGCAACAGGAAAAGAGCCAGTTTGGTCTAGTGGTTAAAGCAGCAGGATAGAAATGGGGAGTTCTAGTCCCGTTTTAGGCACGAAAGCCGGCTGGCTGACTTTGGGCCAATCACCAGGAGGCTGGGAGTTCTAGTCCCACCTTAGGAACGAAAGCTGGCTGGGCGACTTTGGGCCAATCACTAGGAGGCAGTAAATTCTAGTCCTGCCTTAGGAATGAAATCCAGCTGGGTGACTTAGGGCCAATCACCAGGAGACAGTGAGTTCTAGTCCCACTTTAGGCATGAAAGCTGGCTGAGTGACTTTGGGCCAATCACCAGGAGACAGTGAGTTCTAGTCCCACCTTAGGAACGAAAGCTGGCTGAGTGACTTTGGGCCAATCACCAGGAGGCGGTAAATTCTAGTCCTGCCTTAGGAATGAAATCCAGCTGGGTGACTTTGGGCCAGTCCCTCCCTCTCAGCCCAAACCATCTTGGTTGTTACTGTGTGGAAAATAGGATGAGGAAATATTGTGTGTGTTCACAGCGAGGAGTTATTTGTCTGCCTGTCTGTGCTTCTATCTACTTACGTACTTATAGACACTTACCCGATCCACTGTGCGCAGCTCGCACTGTTCACACAGGTAGTGTTCAACGTCCGAGTTCACACCCATGCAGTCACAGTGCTGCCAAACCTGCGAGAGAAAGGAAGGATTCAGGAAACGCCGAGAAAGAAACTTTGGCTTGGTATAGGCGAAATATATATGTATGTATGTATGTATGTATGTATGTATGTATGTATGTATGTATGTATGTATAATCTGCCTGCTGAGAAGCTTGGAATATCCCTGGCTAATATCAGCTGAAGTTAGCCATGCTGAGCAAAGCAGAGCAACGAAATAGCAATAGAAGGGTATTGCATTTTGCCAAAAAAAAAAAAAAATCCCCAAACAAACCTGAAAAAAAGATTCTTGCAACAGGAAAGAATCCAAGTTCTTACAAACTTCGTATATCCAAACAGGGCAGTGGTGGGATTCAAATAATTTGACAACAGGTAAACTGCCTTAATGACCGGCTGGGTGGGCGTGGCCATAGTGGGCGTGGCCAGGGATGTGTGACAGGCAGCACTCTGCCTCCTGCAGCTTCCTGAGAGCGAAAATGGGCAGCAAGGGGGCTGTGTTGCACCCCCCCTTGCCCCGTTTTGGGCCTAGTAGGCTTCCCTGCACTTACCTGGGAACAAAAACGGGGTGCATTGGGACTCCTGGAAGGGACGGGGAGGGGGAGGGGGCAAGCAGCAATTGAACTACCAATTCACCCGAACCAGCTAAATCTCACCATTGAAACAGGGGATCCTGCTGCTTTTAAGATCAGGGTGTCCCCCAAACGTGGCCACTTTTAAGACGCCTGGACTTCAACTCCCAGAATTCCCCAGGATTCTGGGAGTTGAAGTCCAGGCATTTTAAAGCAGCCAAGGTTGGGGAAATCCTGTTTTAGAACAAAACCATGGGGGGATTTCCTCTATTTTTGGAGCGGGAAACCTGCCCCTCTCCCGAGAGTCCGGGCAGGGCAGGGGGTCCTTCGGTGCCCCCCCCCTCACCATGCACTTTTCGCACTGGATCATCAGCCCTTCGTCTTTGTACAAGCCGCAGATGCAACGGATGACGTCTTCGTCCTTCTCGTGCCCGCTCTCCTTCTCGCACAGGGAGGTCTCGCTGCTGTCCGCCTCGCTGGCCGTCTCACCCACGATCTCGTCGATCTGAGCCGCCGCTTCGTGACGGGCGTTGTAATAGGCTTTCCGCAGCCGGCAGACGTCCCGCCCGATCGGAGATTTGCGGCCGTAGTATTTCTGCAGGGGGAAGGGAAAAAAACAAAACAAAAAACCAGCAGTCATCTCCTCGTATCGGAATTTCCAGATTCTTGGCTTTAACGGGCCGTGAAATTCTAGGGTTGATCCTTGATAAGTTAGACTAGTATTTCAGGCAGGTGAAGAAGGGTGGACTTCAACTCCCAGAATTCCCCAGCTAGCATGCTTCAAGATGGCTGGACTTCAACTCCCAGAATTCCCAAATCAGCCTGCTTTAAGATGGGTGGATGTCAGCTCCCAGAATTCCCAAGCCAGTGTGCATTAAGACAGGTAGACTTTGATTCCCAGAATTCCCCAGCCAGCATGCTTTAAGAGTAGACATGAACTCCCAGAATTCCCAAATCAGCATGTTTTAAGATGGGTGGACTTCAACTCCCAGAATTCCCCAGCCAGCCTGCTTTAAGATGGGTGGACTTCCACTCCCAGAATTCCCCAGTCAGCATGATTTAAAAGGGGTGGGCTTCAGTTCCCAGAATTCCTCAGCCAGCAGGCTTTAAGAGTAGACTTGAACTCCCAGAATTCCCAAATCAGCATGCTTTAAGACGGGTGGACTTCAACTTCCAGCCTGGCTGGGGAATTCTGGGAGCTGATGTCCCCCCTTTCTTAAAAGTTGCTGAGGTCGGGAAACACCCATCCTGGGTGCAACGTTATTCCCAGCGCCGAAGCGAAATCAAACAGGGCCGGGAATCTTTGGGAAGGTTTTTGGAGAGGGGGGTGGGAATTGTCTTTGGTTTCAGACAACTGTCTGCCAGCTACCCGCTCACCTCGGCATTGCGGAAAACCTTCAGCATATCCCCGTCGAAAGCCTCCACCGTTTTGTAGTAGCCCGTCAGGATCTGCTTCTCGATGGTGGTGAGATCGAGGGGGTCCGAGATCTTCTCGTAGTAATCGGCGTTCCTGGTCCGGGGAGAGGTTTTAAGTGCGGAAAGTGAATGACCAGGGGCCCAGTTTGGACGCTCAGATGGCTGGGAGGGGGGGGGAGAGGAGTCCATTCACAAACCCCAAGCCCCCCCCCCCACTTTGGCAAAAGGACTTACTTTTTTTTCGGAGGGACAACCAGCAAAGGGGTGGCCAGGACTTGCCTGGAGGAATCTGGAAGTCAAAAGGAGAGGAAGGCCGTGAGGACCACGGAGATGTCCCGAAGAAGGAGTCAGCTGCTGGGGGTTTGCAAGGGTTCGGGAGAACCTCTAGCTAAGATTCTGTGCAGTTCGGAGAACCCCCAAATCCCACTCCTGGCTGGCCCCGCCTACCTCGCCCCTCCCAGGAGTCCCCATGGCAGAGGTGGGTTTTTCAGCAGGTTCTGACCAGTTCTGGAGAACCGGTAGCGGAAATTTTGAGTAGTTCGGAGAACCGGTAATAAAAATTCGGACTGGCCCCGCCTCTATCTATATTCTCTGCCTTCCGAGTCCCAGCTGATCGGGAGGAAATGGGGATTTTGCAGTAACCTTCCCCTGGAATGGGGAGGGAATGGGGATTTTACACACCCCAGCTGTAACTTTTATGTTTTAAGCCTCCTTGAACCCTGTCCTGGGTTCAAGGGGACTCTCCCCGAAGGTTGGGTTCGGCTTCAGGTCTTCGCTTGCCCTCACCTTTGTAGGCAATGATGCCGTCGCAGATCTCCTTGAAGATCTGTGCGAGGCGCGCTGCTCGGGCCACTTCCAGGTTTTCTTCGGCGGCCGCCAACCGTCGCGTCCTCACCGAGCGGGCGGTCTGCAGGGCGGAGAACTGGGTCATGAAGACATCTGAAAAAGAAGGGGAGGGCGATGAAGGAGGGAGGCTTGCCAGGTTCCTGACAGCGTCATGGCGGTTTCCTTCCTTCCTTCCTTCCTTCCCTCCCTCTCTCTCTCTCTCTGGGGGTTTTCAAGAAGAGACTGGACAACCATTTGGGTGTACCAGTATAGGGCCTCCTGCTTGAGCAGGGGGTTGGACTAGAAGACCTCCAAGGTCCCTTCCGACTCTGTTATTCTGTTACTACAAGCAGCTGGATTTAGCAAACGGGCAGTGATGGAAAGAAGGTTGTGGTTTAGTTATGAGAAGCCCCTTTCTGGCCGCAACTATGAGGCGCTCGGAGAAGTGGAGGGGTTCAGGGGTCCAAACCCTCACCCGATTTGATGTTGCCATCGTCGCGGCACATCCCATTCCAGCGGGTGTACAACGAGGGTGAGTGGAGGCTGTCGCTGTCGTGTTTGACCTCCTCCTGCTTCTGACGGATCTTGTCCCAGTTGCGTACCAGGAAAACGTGGTGTTTCAGCACGAAATTCCTAGAAGGGGGTGAAAAAATGTGAAGATTGTGGGAAGAAGGATTTTTGGGGGAGGAGGGAGAGTGGGGGAAACCTTAGCCACCGCTGCAGGCGATGGTAGGAAGAGGTGGCTGGTTTAAAGGGTTGGTGGGTGAGTGGACAGGGAGGAAAATGAGGGTGGAGTCAATCAGCCAGTGACCAACCAAGCAACCTGCTGTTAACCAATCACCATCCAACCAACCCATCATCAACCATCAACCAACCAACCAACCATCAACCAACCAACCATCAACCAACCAACCAACCAACCAACCATCAACCAACCAACCAACCATCAACCAACCAACCAACCAACCATCAACCAACCAACCAACCATCAACCAACCAACAACCATCCATCCATCAACCAACCAACCATCAACCAACCAACCAACCAACCATCAACCAACCAACCAACCATCAACCAACCAACCATCAACCAACCAACCAACCATCAACCAACCATCAACCAACCAACCAAAAACCATCAATCAACCATCAACCAACCAAGCAACAACCATCCATCAGCCAACCAACCAACCAACCAACAACTAACCAACTAAGCAACAACCATCCATCCATCAACCAACTAACCAACCATCAACCAACCAACCAACCAACCAACAACCATCCATCAATCAACCAACCAACCATCAACTAAGCAAGCAAGCAAGCAGCAACCACCAACCAGCTCATCATCAACCCACAAATCACCTCCCAATCACCATCCAACCACTAATCAACTACCCATCAACCAACCGTGTTTCCCACTCCTGGCTAGCCAAGCTGTGGCAAACCAGGGGTTCTCCATTCCGAAGCGCCATGCTGGGCCTATTTAGCTCCTTAACCCGTACAGCGGTTGCAAGACCCACCAACTAAGTGGCAACCCAGCCCCGAGGAAGGATAGCTCCACCCTTGTGTTGAGACTGGCAAGAGCCCAGGCTGAGAACCAGCAGCCCTTCCCTTCCCTTCTCCTCACCTTTCCCTGTTGGACATGGGCTTCATCTGCAGTTGGGGAGTCAGCCGAGTTGGGGGGGTGGCGTTATCGCTGGGCTCTTCGGGAATGTGGCCCTTCTGGAAAACAAGAGCGGTGTTTCTTGGAGGGAGGGAGGGGAAATCTACACTGGGGGGGTTTCAAAACTCTATGGTTTTACCCTCCCCGCTATGACGAAAACAGAAGTTTTTGGCCACTTCTGAAATGTTGATGGGGGCTGCGGGCGACTGAAGTGAAGGAAAGAATTGTCACCTGAAGCTACCTGCTTCCTAATCCCAGCGACGACCGGGATGCTACAGGTAGTCCTCGTCTTACAACAGTTCGTTTAGTGACCGTTCCAAGTTACAACGGCACTGGAAAAAGTGACTTAGGACCCGAGGAGGCTGGTGTGGTGCTGTGCCAGCAGCCTGTGCAGCTGGCACTCGAGTCGGACAATGACTCGACAATGACTTCTCCAGATGTGGTGCCAGAGGCGGGGATTCAGCCAGGGCCTTCAGAACCTCCAGAAGCTTCCTTAAGTGAAGAGGAAGAAGAGGAGGAGCCTCTTCTCGATGCACGGGCGCGCAGAGCGGCCAAAAGGCAGGAGTGGCTCCTCAGGAGGAGGTCTCCTCGAGAGTAAGGCTTGGGGCTAATTGGCCACTCCCTTAGCCTATTTAAGGAGGAACGTCAACAGAAGCAATTTGCAGGGAACAACTTTAGTTCACTCTCCTTCGCGTCTGGATTCTCTGCAAATTGCTTCGGGGCTTTCTGCCAACCTTAGTAAGATTGTGGTGACTTTATCTTTGGTTTCTTGTAGGCTGTGAAGAAACGTTTATTAACAGCCTTTGTTTTTGATAAAGACTTGAGTTATTTTAGTAAATTAAGTTTTGTACAAACTTTGTGTGTGCTGCGTTCTTTGGGGTCCGTAGCTGGGGCAGAACAGAGGTTTAAGCCCCACCCCCCAGGCTGTTGTTGTTTTGAACCTCACATGTGCCTCTGATTGACCCTAAACTGCAAAGGTCAACTTGGGGTACAAACTCACCCTCTTTTTCAACTTGTGCTTGGACTTCCTCTTCTCTTTGGACCGGCTCGGCCGCCTCTGTGCCGTGACCATCTGGTTGGCTTTGCTGAGCAGGCCGTTCATTCGCTGGCTCTTGCCGCCGATGATCCCTCGGCATTTCTCAAAGCCGCACTTGCAGAGTTGCTGCAACGGGAAGTCAAACGGGGGTGTTTAAATGGGGAGGGGGGGGTTTCCTTTGGGAAGCCAGGGCGCCCCGGAGTGATAAGCAAGACCGAACTGCAAACCCCCTTTAAGGGGGTCCTTGACATGCAGCACTTCGTTCAGTGACCGTTCGAAGTTACAAAGGACCACGGCAGCATCCTTGGGGTCCCGGGGTCAAAATTTAAGAACACTCGGCAGCTGACTTGTATTTTATGACGGTTGAAATGGGATTCCCCTTTGGCGACCTTCTGACAAGCAAAGGCAATGGGGAAGCCAGGTTCAATTAACGGCCGTTGTGATTAAATTAAAAATGGCGGTGATGCACTTAAACTGTGGGATGGTCGTAAAACGAGGCAAAACTCGCTTAACGTCTGTCTCACTTGGCCACAGAAATGCTGGGTTGCAAGTCAAGGACCACCACTGGAAGTTTTTTAAGAAGAGGTTGGACAACCATTTGTCTGAAGTGGTGTGGGGTTTTCTGCCTAAGCACGGGGTTGGACTAGAAGACCTCCAAGGTCCCTTCCAACTCTTGTTATTCTATTCTATTCTATTCTATTCTATTCTATTCTATTCTATTCTATTCTATTCTATTCTATTCTATTCTATTCTTTTATTCTATTCTATTCTTCTATTCTATTCTTTTCTTCTTTTTTCTTTTCTATACTATTCTATTTTCTATTCTATTCTATTCTATTCTTCTATTCTATTTTCTTCTTTCTTTTCTTTTTTCTATTCTATTTTCTATTCTATTCTATTCTATTCTATTTTCTATTCTATTCTATTCTTTTATTCTATTCTCTTTTCTTTTTTCTTTTCTTCTTTTCTATTCTATTTTCTATTCTATTCTATTCTATTCTTCTATTCTCTTTTCTTCTTTCTTTTCTTTTTTCTATTCTATTCTATTCTATTCTATTCTTCTATTCTCTTTTCTTCTTTCTTTTCTTTTTTCTATTCTATTCTATTCTATTCTCTATTCTATTCTATTATTCTATTCTGAATCCTATTGTATTCTATTCCTTCATTCTATTCTAATTCTATTCTATTCTATTTTCTATTCTATTCTAAATTCTATTCTATTCTATTCTATTCTATTCTATTCTATTCTATTCCATTCCATTCCACTCCATTCCATATTTTCTATTCTATTCTATTCCATTCCATTCCATTCCATTCCATTCCATTCCATTCCATTCCATTCCACTGATTCTATTCTACTCTACTCTATTCTATTCTAAATCCTATTCTATTCTATTCCTTCATTCCATTATTCCATTCCATTCCATTTTCTATTCTACTTTCTATTCTATTCTCCTGTATTTTATGAACAAGTAACTCAAGGGGGCCAACAGATCTCCTTCCTCTTCCTATTTTTCCCCACAACGACAAGCCTGCGAGAGGGAAGGGACTGGCTCAAAGTCACCCAACTGTCAGACGATCCAAGAACAGAGACACCCCCCCCCACTCCCCCCCAAAGCCCTCTGCCCTCACCTGCTTCTCCACGTTGAAGGAGTGGAAATTGTAGTCGTAAGTCAGCTCTGTGCCGGCTGGCATGTCCTTCAAAGCGTAGAGTCCGATCCGGTAAACGCCGTTGACCGACCTGGAGGCAAAGAGAGGAAAATGAAAAAGATTATTTAAAAAAACAAAACAAAACCCACAAACACAACAATTAGGTTTTAATGCATTTCTCTGCGTGATTGTACAGGTAAGTCGACTTACGACCAAAACGGAGCCTCAAAAATTTCTGTTGCTAAGCGAGACGGTTGTAAAGGGAGCTTTGCCCCATTTTACGACCTTCCTTGCCTCAGTTGTTAAGTGAATTTACTCATCATCATCTTCTTTTAACGACCCCGTAATCCCTTGCAGGGTGGAGCCTGGGCAACTGAATGGAGCTAGCAGAGTGTTTTACTGGCCGGATGCCTTTCCTGTTGCCAGAGCGGAGTTTTGTTCAGCAAATAATATTCTCATCGTGCCCAGAGAGAGAAATATCTGCCTCTACCTAGAATCGAACTCACAGCCTCCCGATTGTGAGGCGAGAACTCCACCTCTAGGCCACCGCACCTCTCCTAGTTGTTAAGTGAATCACTGTGGTTATTAAATTAGTCACACTGTTGTTAAGTGAATCTGGTTTCCCCATTAGTTGTCGGAAGGTCGCAAAAGCGGATCACGTGACCCTGGGACACTGCGACTGTCGTAAATGTGAGTCAGTTGCCAAGCGTCTGAATTTTTGACCGCGTGATGCTGCAACAGTGTGGAAAAATGGTCCTAAGTGACTTTTTTTCAGCGACGTTGTAACTTTGGTCACTAAGTGAACTGTTGTAAGTTGAGGACAACCTGGATTTGAGCTTCTGGGGCACGCCAAGGCAGGAGGCGGTTTCCGACGGCCGGGGGGGGGGGGGGGGGCACTTACCATTTCTGCATCTCACAGTTGGGGTTGCAGCTGTGGTTGATGAAACGGGCCTCGTTCCCCATGCGGTAGCTGTCAATCACCATCCCGCTGTCCAGGTTGAGGCAGTAGTGGTCGCTGTGGTTGTGGTACTGCTCAATCATCCGGTTCCTGAAAAGCCGAACAAATGTGAGGGAGGGAGGGAGGGGGCTGGACTAGGAGACCTCCCGAGGTCCCTTCCGATTCTGTTATCCTGTCTTCTGAGCAAAGGGATTTATTTTATTTTATTTTATTTATTTAAATTTCTATACCGCCCTTCTCCTTTCGGACTCAGGTTGAGCTAGAAGACCTCTAAGGTCCCTTCCACGTCTGTCATTCTGTATTCTGATCAGGGGGTCAGACTAGGAGACCTCCGAGGTCCCTCCCAACTCCGTCATTCTAGGCATTTCTCCCCAGCTTCCTTTTCTTCCTCCTTCACCCGGGGCCTTTACCTGAATTCCTGCTCGCTGACGACCTCCCCCAGGTACTCAATGATGAACTGCCCGGCTTTTAGGGACTCCTTGGTCCGGATGCCCCAGCCTTTCTCCTCCGCCCGGAAGCGTTCGAGACACTGCACCCACTCGTGCCTCTGGATGCGCTGGTTGCAGCACTGCTCCCCGCAGGGACACGTGTTGGGCGAACACTCGGCGAAGATCATCCTGAGGTTGGGGGGGGGGGGGGGAGAGAGAGAAAGGAGAGGCAAGGCAGGTGTGGTGAGAAGGCACCAGGGAGCTATCTCATGGCTGAAGCTTTTTTTTTAAAGAGGGGTGGACTTCAGCTCCCAGAATTCCCCTGCCAGGGTGGGAGGGGACAGGAAGGGAAGCAGGGTGGGAGTTGACAACTTCAACCTCGGCAACTTTTAAGTTGTGTGGACTTCAACTCCCACATTTTTTCTTTTCTTTTTTCTTTTCTTTTCTTTCTTCTATCTTCCTTTCCTTCCTTCCTTCCTTCCCTTCCTTCTTCCCTTTCTTCTATCTTCCTTTCCTTCCTTCCTTTCCTTCCTTCCTTCCTTTCTTTCTTCCTTCTTTCTTCTTTCTTTCCTTTTCCTTTCCATTCCCCCTTCCCTTCCTCCCCTCCCCTTTCCTTTTTCCTTTCTTTTCCTTTCTCCTTCCTTTCCTCCCCTCCCCTTCTCGTTCCTTTCCAGTGCTTTCCTTTCCTTTCCTTCCTTGTTCCTTTTTTTATTTTTTTATTTTAATTTAATTTGTATACCGCCCTACTCCCGAAGGACTCAGGGCGGTGAACAGGCACAGAATAAAACACGTAAAATACAAAAATTAAGAGCAGAAATAAAATTGAATTAAATCAATTCAGCCCGAGACAAATTTAAAACCCCAGGTTAAGAACAAATTAAAATTTACATTAAAATTTACATTAAAAAAGAATGGGAAAGGTTAGGCCAGACCAGCCTAACTTTCCCTTCCCCTTTCTTTCTCTTCCTTCCTTCCTTCCTCCCTTTTTCTCGCCTTTTCTCTTTCCCTTCCCTCCTCTTCCTCCTTCCTTTCCCCCCTCCTCTCCAACCCTAACCCTTCCCTTCTCAATTACAGGGAGTCCGAGCCCAAAATTTCTCCTGCTAAGCGAAACAGCGGTTAGGTGAGCTTTACATTCGGTTGCTAAACGAACCGTCGTTAAGCTGAGGACTACCTTTATTCGAATGCGCCGCGTACCTGTTCAAACAGTCGTCCAGGCACCCGCTTTTCCGGCTGTCGTCGGGCTGCTTGCAGTTGCAAGTGGTGGCTTCGTAACCAGACAGAGGTTTGACGTCCACATAAACATCTTTGGGGGGGGGGGGGGGGGGTGGGGGAAGAAATAAGGCCCAGGATGAGGCGTTAAGAGATCCTGAATCCGGCTAAGGATGGGGAGGGGGGTATAAGGGCAGTGATGGCGAACCGGGTTTTTTTCCGCACGTGCCCACAGCCATAACTCAATGCCCCCCCCGGCCTATTTCCTGACTTCCGGTGGCCCCAGTGGGCCCATTTTTCACCCTCCCCATGTTCCAGAGGCTTTCTTGGAGCCTGGGGAGGGCTAAAACAGCCTCCCCCGTCCCTCCTGGAGGCCGAAAACACCCTCTCAGAGACTCCGTGCGAGCCTTGTACTTACCTGGCATCCAAAACGGGCCACGTGGAGACTCCTGGGAGGGGTGGGGGTGGAGTGGGATGGGGAGCCAAAATTCAGCTGGGCGGCACATGCATGGGTGCTGGAGCTGAGCTAGGGCAACGGCTCGCGTGCCCGCAGATATGGCTCCAGGTGCTACCTGTGGGCACGCCTGCCATAGGTTCGCCATCACGGGTATAGGGGACTCGAGGGGGAGGCTCTCTGGGGACTCCCTCCCCTCCCAACCTCCCCCGGAAGCCGTTACAAACACTGGACAGACTTACTTGATCGGATCTTTTTATAAAGTGGAACATCTGGCTTTTTGTACAGCTGAAAGGAAAGGGAGAAAGGGCCGTTTATTGCGTTGCACCAGGAACAGGAACAGAATCGCAGGGTTGGGAGGGACCTCGGAGGTCTTCTAGTCCAACCCCTTGCTCAGAATGCAGAAGAACAGAGTTGGAAGGGACTTTGGGTATAAAGAATCTCCTCTCCTTTGGTTTGTAAGGCGGGAGAAATAAAACGAAGAAAATGTGGGGGGGAAAGAAGAAGAAAAAAGAAGAAGAGGAAAGGAAGAGGAAGAGGAAGAGGAAGAAGAAGAAGGAAGAAGAAGAAGAAGAAGAAGAAGAAGAGAAGAAGAAGAAGAAGAAGAAGAAGAAGAAGAAGAAGAAGAAGAAGAAGAAGAGAAGAAGAAGAAGAAGAAGAAGAAGAAGAAGAAGAAGAAGAAGAAGAAGAAGAAAACTTTTTTTTTCCCCTCGGGCCCAGATCCAAGAAAAATAAGGCCTGAAATTTTTTTCAGGGCTGTTGGCAGAACATCTAAATTCTCCAGAGGGGTGTCTCACACTCACACACACATATCCATGCACAACATATCCTTGCTGAAGAGCTGCTGTCAGAATAAAAGTCCCCAGCAGGATTAAGAGACGACATGTTTTGCCAGCAGAACAACTGCTGTTGCTCGGGCACGGCAGGGAGGGAGGAGGCAGAGGCAGGCATGGTTAGAGGTGACGGAAAGAGTTTTGTGTGGGTAGGTAGGAAGGAATGAAGGAAGGGAGAAAGGGAGAAAGGAAGGAGGAAAGGGGAAGGAAGAAAGGAGGAAAGGGAGGAGGAAAGGGAGGAGGAAAGGGAGGGAAGGAGGATGGAAGGAAGGGAGGGAGGGAGGAAGGAAGGGGAAAGAGAAAGGGAAGAATGAAGGAAGGAGAAAGGAAGGAGGAAAAGGAAGGAAGGAAGGGAGAGGGAGAAAGGGAGGAGGAAAGGGAGGGGAAAGGAGGAAGAGAAGAAGGGAGGGAGGGAGGGAGGAAGGAGAAAGGTAGGAAGGAAGGAAGGGGAAAGGAGGGAGGAAGGAAGGAAGGGGAAAGGAGGAAGGAAAGAATGAAGGAAGGAGAAGGAAGGAGGAAAAGGAAGGGAGGGAGGGAGAAAGGGAGGAGGAAAGGGAGGGGAAAGGAGGGAAGGAGGATGGAAGGAAGGGAGGGAGGGGGGAGGAAGGGGAAAGGAGAGAGGAAGGAAGGGGAAGAAGAAAGGGAAGAATGAGGAAGAGAAAGGAAGGAGGAAAAGGAAGGAAGGAAGGGAGAAAGGGAGGAGGAAAGGGAAGGAAGGAAGGAAGGAAGGAAGGAAGGAAGGAAGGATGATGTCTTCAACTTCTTCCCTTTTTAACCATTGCCGTTAACAAAAGACGGCTGGCTGAGTTCAGGGCAGCCACGGCAGAAAGCAGGTGACGCTGGAAACAAGAGGATGCCGAATTCGAACCTGGGTCGTTCGAACCGGATGCCGGTCTTACCCTTACCTGGTTATGCTTCCACTGCCAGAGAATGTCGTAAGGCAACTGAAAGTCGATTCGCTTTTGCCGAAGGTATTTCCCTGCGAGAAGGGAGTGAAGAAATGCATCCGATCAGAATAGAGCTGGAAGGGACACTTGGAGGTCTTCTAGTCCAGCCCCCACCCCCACCCCTACCCCGCTGCTCAGGCAGGAGATCCTATACCATTGGAGACAAGAGACTGTCTTTTCTTAACAACCTCCAATGATGCAGCGCCCACAATTTCTGGTGGCAAGCTGTTCCACTGGTTAATTGGCCTCACTGTTAGGAAGTTTCTCCTTAATTCCAGGTTGCTTCTCTGCTTGGTTAGTTTCCACCGGTTACTCCTTTGTCCTGCCTTCAGGTGTTTTTGAGCCAGGTTTCGCCCAATCTGTACTTGTATCTTTGGTTTTTTTCCTTGCCTAGGTGTAAAACCTTGATTTTTCTCCACTTATCCAATATTATTATTATTTTGCAAACAGCCCCAAAGGCGTCTGCTCAAAAGGCAACTGGAGTCGGTTTTTCCTCGAAGACGTTTCGCTTCCCTCACCCAAGAAGCCTCTTCAAGTTCTGAGACTGAACGGTGGAGGATTGGAAGGATTTGTACTCCCTGCAGTCCTCTGGTCGTTAGCGCTCCCTCCGAGAGTCCTCTGAGACTCTAGGGGGCCGTGCTCATCTCCGTTTCAAAGCCGAAGAGCCAGCGCTGTCCGAAGACGTCTCCGGGGTCATGTGGCCGGCATGACTCAACGCCAAAGGTGCACGGAACGCTGTTCCCTTCCCACCAAAGGAGGTCCCCGTTTTTCTACTTGCATTTTTTTTTTTACGTGCTTTCGAACTGCTAGGTTGGCAGAAGCTGGGACGAGGAACGGGAGCTCACTCCGTTACGCGGCACGTGGGATTCGAACCGCTGAACTGCCAACCTTTCAGATCGACAAGCTCAGCGTCTTAGCCACTGAGCTCCTGCGCCCCTTATACAATAGGGTCTGCTTAAATTACTTCGCCGTTCCCTGCAGGAAAGCTAAGAGAGAGTAAGCCAGGAACGCACCCCGCGTTGCTGAATTAAAATTCCAAAACGCCCAGCCGGGGAGATCTCACCGAAAGGAAAACGAGGAATTACAAGAGTTTGAGCGCGGCTGCTCTACTCCCGATTTACACCAAGGCTGGGCAACCGAGAGGTTTAATGACTAAAGAGGCATTTTTACTCCTTTCCAACCTGGCTCTGAAATGGCCCAGAATTGTTTGACGGTGAGATGATGGGCGTGTACATTTAATAAATATTTAATAATTTTTTAAAAAATCAACAGCGTTGTCTAAATCCTAAACTAGATCTAGGACAGTGATGGTTAGCCTTTTCGGCACCGCGTGTCAAAAATGGAGCGCACATGCGTGCATATGCACACACGTGCCTGAGAAGAGAGCAGATGGCCGGCGTGCACGCGTGTGATGGAATCCGGAAGAGCGGCTGGTTACGGCTGCGACGTGGCCCTGAATTCACAGCCAGCCTGTTCCACAGGTGTCGATTCGTTTCCTTTTAGCCAGAGAACTGAATTCGGAGAGGCTCTTGTCCGCTTCAGACTTCCCAGAATCCCCCTGGCTGGGGCTGAGGATTCTGGGATTGGAAGCCCAAGACATCTGGAGGGCATCAGAGCCACAGAAGCGAGCGAAAAGTCCCCGAGTTGGGACTTCTTTGCAAGAAGCGAAAGGGAGAGGAGAGGAAGCCGCTGACAAGTTGGGCTCTTTTAACATTTGTTCGGATTTTCCAGAGCCTCGAGTTGCGCTCGGGCGAGTTCCAGGAAGCGGCCGAATCTGCTGGGAATCTGTTTTCACTTCTATGACCTCACTGGAGGGAAACAAAAGCCTCTTTCAAGAGCCTGGCAGCTGGCCCGGAGAATGGGGAACGCTCCCTCTCGCCCTCAAAATAAAAAGAAGCCACCCGGCTGAGTTGGCCGAGGCAGAGAAATAATCCTGTGATTCATGAGATCCTCGGGGCGAGGATCTCATGAATGCAGCCTGATCTTTCCCGGAGGGTCCCAAGGAAACGGCAGGCTGGGATTGGAGAAGGGAAGAAGGGAATCCATCTTTAAGTCCCTCTTCCCAATTCACAAATTCCTACACAGGCTGTTTTAGCACGAGGGGACCAAGCAAGATTGGCACTGGCATTCTGCCGATGCCCCTCGGTCCTGCCAGGTTTCCTTCGCCAAAGATAACGTGGGATCAGCTCAGCACTGGAAGTCCCAAAAGTGATTTTTTTCCCCAAGAGGCAACCGGAGTTTCTGGCGTTTCTTTGAAGACGTTTCGCTTCTCATCTGAGAAGCTTCTTCAGCTCTGACTGGATGGTGGAGAACGGAAGGATTGATACTCCTTGCAGGCAGCTGGTCATTTGCATCCTTTTAGAGGGTCGTTGAGGCCACTTGGAGGTTTATCTGTGTCCTCAGAGTCACCTTGAATGGTACAAATGGGCGGGAAGAAGGCTCAAGTGACACTGAGGACACAAAGAAACCTCCAAGTGGCCTCAACGACCCTCTAAAAAGGATGCGAATGACCAGCTGCCTGCAAGGAGTATCAATCCTTCCATTCCCCACCATCCAGTCAGAGCTGAAGAAGCTTCTCGGAGGAGAAGCGAAACGTCTTCAAAAGAACAAAAACCCCAGAAAAGTCCACTTGCCTCTTGAAAAAAGCACCTTTGGGACAACTGTGACCTTGGATGACGGAGAATCTCTACAGGCATTTAGCAACACAATTTGGGATGGACACCCTTGGAACGGTGTGGGGATAGAAATGGAATTCCAGAGGAAAAATTGTAGACTACAGGAGCCTTGGTGACGCAGAGGATTAAACTGCTGTTAAAGTAGCACTTAGCTGCCTGCCATTACTGCGAGTTCAATTCTCACCAGGCTCAAGGTTGACTCAGCCTTCCATCCTTCCGAGGTAGGTAAAATGAGGACCCGGTTTGTGGGGGCAATAAGCTGACTTTGTATGAAAAAAAAGAACACTGCTTAGGGGGGGCCCGAAAGTCCTACTAAGCAGGTATACACAAAAGTATGAAGGCTATTGCTTAATGCCTTGTAAGCCGCCCTGAGTCTCCGGAGAAGGGCGGCATATAAATCGAATCAATCAATCAATCAATCAATCAATCAATCAATCAATCAATCAATCAATAAATAAATAATAAACGATTTGCACCACTCAGAGAAACCTCCAAGCGGCCTCAACGACCCTCTGAAAGGATGCAAATGACCAGCTGCCTGCCAGGAAGATCAATCCTTCTATTCCCCACCATCCAGTCAGAGCGGAAGAAGCTTCTTGGGATGAGAAGTGAAACGTCTTCAAAAGAATAACCAGAGAGTCCAGTGGCTTCTTAGAAAAAAAAAACACCTTTGAGACAACCTGGATGACTTGAGAGCCTCCATAGACACTCAGGTCAAAAGATGTGTGTGTGGGGGGGGAGAGGGCTTTCCTCTCCTGCTGCTTTCCTCTCTTGTGAATTTGGGGGGGGGGGGGTGGGAGGAGCGAAGGAGGCTGGGTGGGACTGCACGAGGCGGATTCTCGGCCTGGGGGAAGAGGCAGCTCGGACTGGCGGCCAGTGCCAGGCCTCCTCCCTGGCCCAGTTCCAGGTTATTGTTACCGTTGGCAGGCTGCCTCTGTCCTGTAACTATAAACATGGTGGAGGGTGTTTGCCATAATTGGGGAAGACGACGGGCTGTGTGTTTAAATGTCCCCCTGCCCTCCTCCTCCCGTTGTGGGGAAAAGTCACGCCCACACCCACTTCGGGAATGCAAACCTGGCTTCCTCGCACGGATTCAGGGTTGCAAACCCTTTAAGGGGGGAAAAAAAAACAACCCCATGGAATGGAACCAAGTACTGAATGGGTCTATATGCTTTCAAGGGGAAAACCAGGAAGAAGGGAGTTTTTTAAAAAACAAAAAAACCCATGAAATCCATCTTGCTGAACTCAAAACCTTGCATATTTTATTGCTTGGGAGTTTTAAAAGTTCCAAACGTTTGGGAAAACGATGATAGTAGGGGCAGGGGGTCTTTTCTTTTCTGCCTGGAAGCACAGCAGGGATATTCGTAATATATATATATATATATATTTTAAATTGTTTTGATTTTTTTTGTTTAAACCATATTGTTTTTAGGAATAACTCAAGGTCAGGGAATATACCTAAAACGCCCTTCCTCCTCCTGTTTTCCTCACAACGACAACCCTGTGAGGTGGCTGAGAAGGAGGGAGTGGCCCCAAAAGTCACCCAGCCGGCTTTCACGCCTAAGGCGGGACTAGAACACTCTGTCTCTTGGTGATTGGCTCAAAGTCACCCAGCCGGCTTTCATGCCTAAGGCGGGACTAGAACTCCCAGCCTCCTGGTGATTGGCCCAAAATCACCCAGCCGGCTTTCACGCCTAAGGCGGGACTAGAACTCTCTGTCTCCTGGTGATTGGCCCAAAGTCACCCAGCCGGCTTTCACGCCTAAGGCAGGACTAGAACTCTCTGTCTCCTGGTGATTGGCTCAAAGTCACCCAGCCGGCTTTCATGCCTAAGACAGGACTAGAACTCCCAGCCTCCTGGTGATTGGCCCAAAATCACCCAGCCGGCTTTCCTGCCTAAGGCGGGACTAGAACTCTCTGTCTCTTGGTGATTGGCTCAAAGTCACCCAGCCGGCTTTCCTGCCTAAGGCGGAATTAGAACTCCCAACCTCCTGGTTTCTAGCCTGGTGTCTTAACCCTACATCAAACTGACTCTAATTCTAGTAAAGGAAGGTCTGGTGTCCTTTGGGGGGGGGGGCGGTTCTTGTCTTGAGGAACAGCAATCGTTGGCTAAATTCTGACCCCCACAAGGTACCTCCTTCATGACACCCGGTCACCCACCCACCCCGCCTTCCAAAGAAAGTTGCACATGTCACATAGTTCTTCCAGAGTTGAGTCAGAGGAGGAGGAGGAGACCTTCCCTCAAAAGCAACAGAGACCGTGGTCGTCACTCACCTACGTGAATAGGCGCGGGGAATAAGCCGTATTCGTGCTCTCCGGGCGTGTATTCCAGTTTTTCTTTCTTTAACTGGATCAGGCGGCTTTTGGGGCTAAGGAAGAGAGAGAGAGAGAGAGAGAGGATGAGAGACCATGAAGGATGATGTCCAATTCTTGATGTCATCATTGATGTGCAATGATGTCTGAGGCTCTAGAAAGAGTGCAGAGAAGGCTGAGTCAACCTTGAGCCGGTCAGGATCGAACAGTGAGCAGTGAGTTAGCCTGCAATGCTGCATTCTAGCTACTAGGAAGGAAGGAAGGAAGGAAGGAAGGAAGGGAGGAGGGAAGGAAGGAAGGGCAATACCAATAGCATATCCCGCTGCACGGTGCTTTTACAGCCCTCTCTAAGCAGTTTACAGAGTTAGCCTTTTGCCCCCCCAACAATCTGGGTCCTCATTTTTACCAACCTCAGAAGGACAGAAGACTGAGTCAACCTTGAGCTGGTGAGATTTGAACTGCCGAACTGCAGCTAGCAGTCAGCTGAAGTAGCCTGCAGTGCTGCACTCTAACCACCGCCCAGTGGTGGGTTTCAAATTTTTTTTACTACCGGTTCTGTGGGTGTAGCTTGGTGGGCGTGGCATGTCTTGGTGGGCGTGGCAGGGGAAGGTTACTGCAAAATCCCCATTTCTTCCCGATCAGCTGGGACTCGGGAGGCAGAGAATAGATGGGGCCTGGGCCCAGTCAGAATTTTTACTACCGGTTCCCCTGAACTACTCAAAATTTCCGCTACCGGTTCTCCAGAACTTGTCAGAACCAGCTGAAACCCACCTCTGCCACTGCGTCACCTCGGCTCTGATGATTCTACATACGATTCTCTCTTTTATTAGTTTTAATGTTTTTTTTTTATATGATGTTTTTATATTCTTGTAAGCCGCCTTGAGTCGCCGTGTGTGAATAGGCAGAAATATAAATCAAATCAAATCAAATCAAATCAATCAAGCAATATCCTACAGCAGAGTCCACACGGCACATAACAAGGTCAATTAAAAGATCATACCGCATCTACCAGCGTTAAAACAGCAACTTTTAGGGGTCTCTAGTCTGCAGGCTTAATCCACTATAAAGTAGATTTTCAAAGCAACGGGAATCCCTGCTGACTGCTCTCCCCCCAGCAGCCCGACTTCCAAGGACCCATTCACAATGAATGGTGCAATGAACTGTACTGTCACTAGAGGGCACATTCCCCCAGCAACCATTATCTCCAACTACACCCTTCCGTTTGTGTTAACTCGCACCAGCAGCTACTGCTGGTAGGACCGAGAAATGCATGGCACTTAATGGGGGTCACAGCTTACAACCTTTAGCTCTTATTCCCACTGGATTTCCGTTCCGGACAAGCGCTATCTTCTTTCTTACGAGCCGCGGTGGCGCAGTGGTTAGAGTGCAGTACTGCAGGCTACTTCTGCTGATCCCCGGCTGCCAGCAGTCTGGCGGTTCGAATCTCACCAGGCTCAAGGTTGACTCAGCCTTCCGTCCTTCCGAGGCGGGTAAAATGAGGAGCCAGATTGTTGGGGGGCAAGAGGCTGACTCTGTAAACCGCTTAGAGAGGGCTGGAAAGCACTATAAAGCGGTATTTAAATGTAAATGCTATTAGGATGGAAAGAGTTTGGCCCAAAGTCAGCAGATTGGCTATAAGCCTAAGGTGGGGCTAGAACCCACAGCCTCCCCGTTTCTACCAACAGAAGAGAGCATAACTTGTGGGGTCCTTGGTGCTCCCTGAGCTCGGTTGTTTTCTTGCAAACGTTTCATGACCCAACTAGGTAACCTCATCAGTGCTAGAAGGGGGTGGGGTTACATTATTTATAAACAGCAAATCCCGCTCCCTCGTAGCACTGATGAGGCTACCTAGCTGGGTCATGAAACGCCTGCAAGAAAACAACCAAGGACCCCACAGACATCCTCCTCCTCCTCTCTGCAAACCCTTCTCCCTTCTAGCACTGATGAGGTTACCGAGTTGGGTCATGAAACGTTTGCAAGAAAACCACCAAGCTCAGAGAGCACCGAGGCCTGGCCTAATTTTTCTCCCCTTTCTTTTAAATTTTTAAACTGAAATTTTAATTTGTTTTTAAATTATTGGGATTTTAAACTGTCGTGGGCTAAATTATTTAATTTGGTTTTAAATTGTTTCTAACTTTTGTACTTCTGTATTTTATCCTGTGCCTGTTCACCGCCCTGAGTCCTTCGGGAGTAGGGCGGTATACAAATTTAATAAAACATAAACAAAACAAACCGAGGACCCCACACAGTCCCGGTTTCCAGCCTGTTGTCTTAACCATCACGTCATGTCAGACGATGTGATTTATGCATTGTTGGCATATTATCGTATGTCTTCGCTTCGCCGTGTTTTTGTTCTTTTAAAAAGTTTGCTGGGCTTTGCCCGGATAAGTATTATTGATGGGCTGCTGCGCCAAACTCGCTCTGTTTCTCCTAGTAAACATGTTTTTAATGGGTTATGCCAAATGCCATCCTTTTTAACAGAAGGGACCTTGAAGTCTACCGATGGTCAAAACCACACACCACTGCGGTGTCTTACCTCTGACCGCCCCCCCACCCCCACCACAAAAAAACCTCCCAAGCCTGGGCGATAAATCCTCCCTATCCCAGAGAAAAATGCCACACAGAGTTTTTGTGCGTTGTTTCATAGGGAAGAAAAAAAAGAAAAGAAAAGAAAAGAAACTCTGCTTTTAACTGGGTTAACTTCGCGGTAGGTGGAGCCCCCTCCCTCTCTGGAAAACCACATTGCTGCCAAGGAGAGAGGCCACATGATAAAACATCTTCCTCGCTCGGGGGAATATATATAAATATATATATATATATATGCGTATGTGTGTGTGTAGGAAACATTCCTGAAAATAAATTGCTTTCTGGGGTGTTTTTGGATCTATCCCTGAAAGCCGAGAGGGGCGGAGGGGAGGGCCCCGATCAAAATCAAATAGGAAACGCGGATGAGTCATGCGTCTTGTGAGCCGGAATATTCTTTAACTTGGATGCGACTCAGGAATTTGGTGTGTGGGCTCCAGAGAAGACGGCAAGTTGAATCCAACCACACCGAGCGTGTCTACACTTGAGGTTCCCCCTTGGGCTAAGAGGGTTTGGAAAGAGGGAGAGAGAGAGAGGGAGGGAGGGAGGAAAAGAGAAAGAAGAAAAAAGAATGCGAGAGAGGGAAAGAGAATGAGAGAGAAGGAAGGAAAAGAGGAAAGAGGGAGGGAGGGAGGAAAGAAAAGAGAAAGGTGAAAGAGGGAAAGAAAGAAAAGAGGAAAGAGATAGAAAGAGAAAGAAGGCAGCAAGGAAGAGGGAGAGAAAGAGAAAGAAAAAGAAAAAAGGAAGGAAAGGAGAAAGAGAAAAGGTGAGAGAGGGGAAAAAAAAGAAAGAAGACGGAAAAAAGGAAGGAGGGAAAAGATAGAGAAGGAAAGAAGGAAGGAAGGAAAAGAGGAAAGAGAGAGGGAGGGAGGAAAAGAGAAAGGTGAAAGAAGGAAAGGAAGAAAAGAGGAAGGAAGGGGAAAGAGAAAGAAGGCAGCAAGAAAGAGGGAGAGAAAGAGAAAGGAAGGAAGGGGGAAATGAGAAAGAGGGAAGAAAGGAAGGAAAAGAGGGAAAAAAGTGAGAGGGGGGGAAAGAGAAATAAGAAGGAAGGAAGAAAAGATAGAGAAGGAAGGAGGGGAAAGAAAGAAGGAAAGAAAGAAAGAAAGAAAGAAAGAAAGAAAGAAAGAAAGAAAGAAAGAAAGAAAGAAAGAAAGAAAGAAAGGCCACCCCCAAGCCAACTCCAGATTGGCTGGTTCTAACGGTCGCTAAGTGAGGACTGTGTCTTGGCCAATGAGAACCCAGCCAGGGAAAAGCGAGGCTCGGGGAGGGGGGGAATAGGAAGCCAGGGGGCTCCACCTCAGGAGGAGACCTCAGCCACTCCGACTTACTCGCTGGTCTTGTAGACGTCCGAATAGAGGCCGGCCTTCTGGTACTTCTTTTTCGGTGGGCGGGCCACTTTCTTCTCGCGCTGGACCAGGGGGGCCGGCGGCCGTTCGGCTTTCTCCGGGGGCTTCCCAGCAGCCTCCGAGGAGGGAGGAGGGGGAGGGAGGGGAGGTGGGGGAGGAGGGGGAGGGGGAGGAGGAGGAGGAGGAGAAGAGGGTCAGGTGCGGCTTCTGAAAAGCTGGAAGGAGAAATTTGGGGGGGGGGGGGAACAGGGATGAGCTGGAGATGAGCCTCTGGGAATCTGGGGCCCACCCATTGGTGTGTGTGTTCGTAGGGGTTCGGGAGAACCTCTAGCTAAGATTCTGTGCAGTTCGGAGAACCCCCAAATCCCACGCCTGGCTGGCTCCGCCCACCCCGCTCCTCCCAGGAGTCCCCACGCAGCCCGTTTTGGATGCAGGTAAGTGCAGGGCGCGTGCGGAGGCTTGGGGAGGGCAAAAAACGGGCCTCCGGAGCCTGGGGAGGACGTTTTCACCCTACCGGAAGCTCGAGGAAAGCCTCTGGAGCCTGGGGAGGGCAAAAACGCCAACACCCCCCCCCACCGCCATGGTGTAAGAGGTCGACTAGGCCACGCCCACCATGGCCACACCCACCCAGCAACCAGGGCAGAGAACCCCTTGCTAAAATGTTTAAAGCCCACCCCTGAATCCACCCCATCGAGCAACCTGCCCGCCCACAGCAAAGGAAGCCCAATCAGCAGGAGTCAAGCTGTTGCACAGGTAGTCCTCGACTTACGACGGTTCATTCAGAGACCAAAAGTTACGCCGCCACTGGGGAAAAAAAAGCAACCCGGGACCCTTTTTTTTTCCGCCCTTACGACCGTCGTAGCATCCCCGCGGTCGGGTGATCGAAATTCGGGTGCTTTGTCCACCGACTCATATTTATGACGGTCTGCGGGGATAAAATGCGGTGACCTTTCTTATACAGCCGAATCGATGGGGGAAGACGGATTTGCTGAACCGCCGTCCGACCGACTTAACTGCAGCGGTTCCCTTAAGGATGGCGGCAAAGAAAAGTCGTAGAACGAGACCAAATCCCCTTAGCAAACGATTCGCTTAGCGGCAGAGAATTTTGGGCTGTTAAGTCGAGGACTACCTGTATTTCCCCTGGGGAAAGGGACCCCTGCGTTGTCTTGGCCACTAGATATGATGCTGGGGCTCACGATCATGAGGACTACAGCCTTTTTTTTTCCTCCACCCCAAATCCGAAGGGCTCACCTTTTATGGCTCTCTTGCTCCTCGCCGGGGAGCAGTTTCTGCTTCTTCCTCGTCAGCTCTTCTTCCAGCCACCGTTTCCTCTTTGACCCTTTCTCGGTCACGCCCTGGACCACCGACTCGATGGCGTCGGTGACGGTGTCGGGGCCACAGTGGAGGAGACAGTCGGGCTCTCTGGTGCTGCTGAGCTCGGGGCCGAGGAATCGGCTGACTTGCAGTCCGTGGGAGGAGACCACCGGCGCCGAGGGGTATTTCCTGGGTCTCCCCGGCCGGCGTTTCACGAAATTGTTGCCGGTCCGTGATTGTCTTTGAAGCTTCTTGGCTTTGAGGATCTTGTTGACGTGGTCCAAGTTTTTCTTGGTGGCCAAGATCTTGTCGTAACTGCACATCCGTCTGGTCTGGCTTTGAATGGCTTCCACCATGCTCCTCTTGAAGTGGTGGTGCGGGGAGCGGCCGGAGAGGAGGGAGAGGCCGTCGCCGGGATTCCCGGGGAGCAAGAGATCGCAAGATTTCTCCCGGCTGGGGCTCCGGCTGGGGCTGTCCGAGGGCAGGGTGGGGACGCTGGCCAAGACGGACTCCAGGGTCTTGTCCAAGGCTCCCTGGGTCTCGTGGTGAGCCATGCGCTGCAGGAGGTGGTCGGCGGGATCTTCCATGGAGGAGCCGATTCTGGAACCGCGCGACGGGATCCCAACGACTGGAAAGAGAAAGGAACTTTGGTAAAGGAAGGTTCCGTTCGGGTTCAAGCAACGGCTCGAACTGGGAACGAGAGCAGAAACGTTGCAGTGGCTCTCTCAAGTTAAGTCGCCGAACTGTATAAACGCCTTTTGAAGGAAGGAAGGAAGGAAGCCGTGCGGGATTGCTTCTAGGCAAGACAGGAGGCGTGGAAGTCGAATAAATGAATAAATAAAAAGATCCCGGCTATAAAAAGGCAGCTATAGGGCTTAGCAGAATAATAACAAAGTTAAGGGACCTTGGAGGTCTTCTACTCCAACCCCGTCAAGCAGGAGACCCCTATACCATACTGGACAAATGGTTGCCCAGTCTCTTCTTAAAAACCTCTAGTGATGAGGGAGGGAGGGAGGGAGGAAGGAAAAAAAAATAGCAGAATAAGAATAACAAGAGTTGGAAGGGATATTGGAGGTCATTTAGTTCAACGCCTGGTCAAGCAGGAAGCGGTTACACCATTCTGGACTGGGCAATCTCTTTTGAAACATCTCCAGTAATGTTACACCTACAACTCCAGGAGGCAAGCTGTCCTTCTCCAAAGTTTCCTTCACCAGGTGACAAAAAGAAGCTGCGAGGGAGCCAGGTGGGCTACCTGGAGATAGCCTTGCACAAGGATAAGGAGGGGGAGGGGAAAGAACCCTTGCTGGCTGGTACCCAACACCAGAATAGAGACGATTAGATAAATGACTGGCAGAAAAAAAAAAAAGGCCATAAAATTGGGTTGGTCATGGGACCAAACCTGTTTCACAACCATCCTGAGTTGCGACTGTGAGGGGTAGGCTCCATTACGGTTGTAAGTCGAGGACTACCTGTATCTCTAACCCAGTGTTTCTCAAGTTTGGTGGCTTTAAGATGGGCAGACTTTAATTCTCAGACAGCTGGGGGATTCTGGGAGTGGAAGTCCTCCCCTCTTAAAGCACGCTGGCTGGGGAATTCTGGGAGTGGAAGTCCTCCCCTCTTAAAAGCACGCTGGCTGGGGGATTCTGGGAGTGGAAGTCCTCCCGTCTTAAATCATGCTAGCTGGGGAATTCTGGGAGTGGAAGTCCTCCCCTCTTAAAGCACGCTGGCTGGGGAATTCTGGGAGTGGAAGTCCTCCCCTTTTAAATCATGCTGGCTGGGGGATTCTGGGAGTGGAAGTCCACCCATCTTAAAGCACACTGGCTGGGGAATTCTGGAAGTCTACACACTGTAATATTGTTGAGGCTGAACAAACTGGTTTAGAGTTCCAGGTCCGTGACACCTGAAGGGCTTCCTACACCTACCTTAGAAAAGTAACCCAACCCACCTGTGGAAGATGTGCTTTCGGAGGAAGACCGCTTCCTGGAAGGACTGCAACTGGTGCTCTCCACTGATCTCTGGGAGAGCTTCTCCTGACCTGGAAGGGTGCCTGGCGAAGGAAATCAAGACAGGTCAAGAAAAAAAAAAGGGAGAGAGAATGATTGGTGGAGACACAAACACAAATTCCAAACCACCTTTCCCTCTGCAGGTTCCACAGAGGCCAATGGGAGACAACGCCCGAGGCAGAAAGACAAGGAACGGTTTTCACTCAAGATTCTGGTGTCACCTGCCAAAGCTTGTGGTGGTTTAAGGAATTTTGAGGGCAAAATTCAGCTTGGAGGGGTCAAATGTCCTTTGGTGGGCTCCTTTTGACCGAGCAGCTGGGTCAAGAGCGAAGCACGACCTGAGGGGGTGCGAAAGCTTCATCCTAGAGTTGAAGAAGCTTCTTGGACGAGGAGCGAAACGTCTTCAAAGAAAAACCAGAAAGTCCAATTGCCTCTTGGGAAAAAAAAAGCACCCTCAAAAAGACGCACTGCACACCACAACTACTAGACACAAGGACAGTTTTTCCCCGAATGCCATCACTCTGCTAAACAACTAATTCCCTCAACATTGTCAAACTATTTACTAAGTCTGCATTACTCTTATTCTTCTCTTCCTTCCTAGTACGTATCTCTTCCCACTTATGACTATAGCCGTGTTGTTGTATCTTTCAATTTATATTGTTTTTATTTCTGTCCTAGTACGATTTGATAGCTTGTTAGTAACCTTGACTATCACTAAGTGTATCTTTTTGATTCTCGATGAATGTATTTTATTCTCCTTGTGTACACCGAGAGCATTATACACCTAAGACAAATTCCTTGTGTGCCCAATCACACTCGGCCAAGAAAGAATTCTATTCTATGGGGCAACCAGGATGGCTGAGAATCTCCGTAGACATCACCCTAAAACGACAACACACCTCACAACGTGCCACAACACACTAGGACCTTAGATCTCTCTTCAAGGCTGCTCTTCAAAGCTTCGAGGTTGGGGACCCCTGGCTTAATTGATCCTTCAAGGGAGCTGAGGGCGCCCTTGTGTCCTTCTCAAATGCTCCCAACCCTTGGCCCGAGCGGCTAAATGGACTGCGGCGGGCGGTGAGCACCAGATGGCTCGAAAGCCTCCCTCGGGGACGTTGGGGAAGATTAAAAGACCAGGTGCCTTCGCAACCCAGCTGGCTGGCCTTTGAAAGATCTTGTGTGTGTGTGTGTGTGTGTGTGTGTGTGTGTGTGTGTGTGTGTGTGTGTGAAAAGCTTGGCAACAGGCCAAAGGATGCTGCGCACGGATGTCACCTCTCCAGGCAGGTAATAGCTGCAGTAACCACGCTCTCTCTTTCCCCCACCCCACCCCCCCAGCCTGCTGTTAGCAAGTCAACCGTGTGACTAATTTAATGACTGCAGGGAATCCGGTTAACGAATGCGGCAAGAACGGCAGTAAAACGGGGCAGAAACTCACTCGATGGAATTTCTCGCTTAGCAACATCGATTTTTTTGGGCTCGATTGTGGGGTTGTTAAAAGTTGAAGACGACCTGTATATACCTTGTTTCCCCCAAAAAATAAGACATCCCCTGAAGAGCCTTGGTGGTGCAGCAGATTAAAGTGCTGTTAAGTAACGCCAGCTGCCTGCAATTACTGCGAGTTCGAATCTCACCAGGCTCAAGATTTGACTCAGCCTTCCATCCTTCCGAGGTAGGCAAAATGAGGACTCGGATTGTGGGGGGCAATAAGCTGACTTTGTATAAAAAAAAGAACACCGCTTGGGGGGGGGGCAAAAGCCCTACTAAGCAGGTATATATAGAAGTATGAAGGTTATTGCTTAACGCATTGTAAGCCGCCCTGAGTCTCCAGAGAAGGGTGACATATAAATTGAACCAATAAATAAATAAATAAATAAATAAATAAATAAATAAATAAATAAATAAATAAATAAATAAATAAATAAATAAGCAAGCAAGCAAGCAAGCAAGCAAGCAAGCAAGCAAGCCCAATTGGGCTTTCAGGCACATGTGCTAAACTAACCCCCCACCCGAAAATAAGCCCTCCCTGAAAATAAGGCCAAGCACTTGTTTTGGGGTTCAAAAAATACATAAGACAGGGTCTTATTTTTGGGGAAACATGGCATATTTATTTATTTATTAGTTTGATTTATATGACACCCTTCTCCGGAGACTCAGGGTGGCTTATAATGCGTTAAGCAACGGCCTTCATACTTTTGTATATACCTTTTTAGTAGGGCTTTCGGCCCCCCCAAGCGGTCTTCTTTTTAATACAAAGTCAGCTTATTGCCCCCACAATCTGGGTCCTCATTTTACCTACCTCGGAAGAATGGAAGGCTGAGTCAACCTTGAGCCTGGTGAGATTCGAACTTGCAGTAATTGCAGGCAGCTGGTGCTACTTAACAGCGCTTTAGTCTGCTGTGCCACCAAGGCTCTTGAAATATGATGAAAATAAGGCCCAGTGCTGCGCGGCACAGGAATTAAAGACATCCGAACTTTCGTTTCGGTCGTTTGCCAACATGGCTTTTCAACATCTGGAGAGCCTGCCCCCACTCCGCCCCCTTTGCCTGTATGCCGAGGGGAGACGGGGGGGGGAGGAGGGGAGGCGAGAGGGTCTAAAATCTATTTTTAATTATTGTGTTTCTGCAACGAAGGGGTGGGTGGATGGGTGGGTGGGTGAGGTTTAGGGACAGCTGCAGCCCCCTTCTTCCCCCTCTCAGGCACGTTTGTGTCATACCTGCCCTGTTATCGGAGATGAGTCAGGCACGGCTGGGGGGAAAAAAAAAAATGCCAGAGGGAAGATGGGAGAATAAAGGCTCCCTTGACGTGAAGGGACTTATTTTGGCTAGGAAATATGAGATCAGGCCGGGCTCTGGATGGACAAACAAAAACATGGCGGCAAGGAGAATGTGAAGCAAGTGGCTGGCTCCTTCCTTCCTTTCCTCCCCTCTAATCCTTCCGCCCTCCTTTCTAACCTTCTTTCCTTCTCACCCTCACCTTCCTTCCATCCGTCCCACCCTCCGCTCTAATCAATCCTTCCTTTTCTTCCACATTTCTTTTTCCTTCTCTTTTTCTCCTCTTCTTCCTTCCTTCCTTCCACATTTCTCTCCCTTTCTCCTTCTTTTTCTCCTTTTTCTCCCTCCCTTCTCTCTTTCTTCCTTTTCTTTTTCTTTCTTTCTTTCTCTCTTTCTTTCTTTCTCTTTCTCCTTTCCTTTCTTTCTCCCTTCCTCTTCTTCCTTCCTTCCTTCCTTCATTTCTCTCCTTTTCTCCTTCTTTTTTCTCCTTTTTCTCCCTCCTTCCTTCCTCTCTCTTCTTTCTTCCTTTTCTTTTTCTTTTTCTTTCTCTCTTTCTCTCTTCTTTTCTTTTCTCTTTCTCCTTTCCTTTCTTTCTCTCTGCCTTCCTTCCTCCCTCCTCCCTCCCTCCCTCCCTCCCCTCCCTCCCTTCCTTCCTTCCTGTGAATGTGTGCAGCTTTGCAGACCTTGAGAGTCAATTATGACTTTGTCACTGGGGAAAGGAGGAGGACTGAAATCTGGAAGAATGCAGGTGGTTTTGCTTTATTTTGTTGCGGTAAAAAGATTTGATTGCCCAGGAGGGTCAACTGGAAGTCCAGTCACCATCCACCAAGTTCCCCCAGATGAGTCCGAGTGAGACAGGCGTAGCAATCGAATAGGCCATTTCTTGCATTCTTGACTTGAGCAACCCAAACTGAGGTAGTCGGTGGTGAGGAATTATAGACGCTGAACCAGGCTGGTGTTCAGTGAAGGTGCTGGCCTAGAAACCAGGAGACTGGGAGTTCTAGTCCTGCCTTGGCGTGTAAGCTGACTGGGCGACTTTGGGCCAATCACCAGGTGACTGGGAGCTCTAGTCCCACCTTAGGCACAAAAGCCACTTGGGTGACTTTGGCCAATCACCAGGAGATTGGGAGTTCTAGTGCTACCTTGGCGTGAAATGGCTGGGTGTCTTTGGGCCAATCACCAGGAGCCTGGGAGTTCTAGTGCTACCTTGGCGTGAAAGCCAGCTGGGTGATTTTCGGCAAATCACCCGGAGACAATGAGTAAATTCTAGTCCCGCCTTAGGCATGAAAGCACGCTGGATGATTTTGGGCCAGTCTTTCTCATGCTCAGCCCCAACCCACCTCACAGGAGGAGAAACAATCACCAGGAAGCCTGGGAGTTCTAGTGCTACCTTGGCGTGAAAGCCAGCTGGGTGACTTTGGGCCAATCACCAGGAGCCTGGGAGTTCTAGTCCTGCCTTGGCATGTAAGCTGACTAGGCGACTTTACAGGAGGAGGAGGAGGAGGAGGAAGGAGCATTTAGCTTACGTCCCCTGCCCCCGAGTGACTTCTCAAGTAACAAAGGCGGGTTAAATATCTCTCATAAAGAGAAAATAATGAGTTGGCGCTCCAGAAGGGAGGCTTTTTAAGCCTTTCCTGCCCAACGGGCCTGGAGAAGTGGCACGGGAAGGGAAGGAATAAAAGAAACGCAGGGCGAAGGAACAGATGGTTCCAATTGCTGGGGGGGGGGGCGGGAGGGGGAAGGGGAGAAGGGAAGGCAAGAGAGGACAGCTTTACCGAAAGGCGATCCATTTTCCTCTGACTCACCCCTTAAATGCGCCAGCGGAGAGGCGGTGATTCAGAGATGGCACTCGGCGGAGGCCCTGGAGGAGGCCCGAAAGAAAGCACACACGTCTCTGTTTTCTTTCTAATTAGTGCTGTTTTTCATCAAATCCGCTTCACTCACGCTAATGGAATTCCGCAGGAAATTCCCAGGACTCTAACTAAACCAAGGCAACCTGTTTTCTCTATTCCCTTCCCCCTTCCTTCCCTCCCCCCCCATTTGACCCAATGGGGATATTCACGCTCTGCAATACCAGAGAGAGAGAGAGAGAGAGAGAGAGAGAGAGAGAGAGAGAGAGAGAGAGAGAGAGAGAGAGAGAGAGCGAGCGTGGGAGATATTTAATTTATTTGCACAGCCGTCCTTCGTGCACGAGCCTGGATCTAGCCACAAGGAGGAATGAACGAAGGCTGCAAGCAAGGAATGCTAGCTGGGTTTCCGTTTTTTATTCTTTATTTAAAAAAAAAAAAAAATAGGGCGTCATCCTAACTGGAGCGAGGCTGGCCAATTCCACAGAGGTGGCTGTAGGACAAAAAAAATATGAGAGAAAGGAAAGAGCCAGCTCTTGGCACGCAGAGATTTATGACAACACATCAAGGCATCGTTGTGAAAAGTTATAGCACCCCCCCACCCCCCCAATAAATCTGGCCAGCCTTTTTTCTAATGGAAACGTGAGCAAGGAAGGGGTCAGAAAGGGATCCGTGGGTCTGATGAGTAGACCCACTGAGGCATGGCTCTAGCGGCCAAATGGCCTGCATTTTAATCATCATCATCATCATCATCATCATCATCTCAGTTGACTGAGTTTCATGTTTAATGAATAAAAAAATAATAATAATAATAATAATATAATAATAATAATAATAATAATAATAATACCAGGAGATGCCAGAGTCGAAGAAAAAGAACTAGAAAAAAAACCACGAAATATCGCGACCATCAGAACATCGTATATTTGAAGAAGGTACTTGGTAGATACCTAGGATGCTGGCAGCAACCCGTATCAACCATCAGTACCAGTCAATGGTATTTGTGATGCATTTTTGATTGTTCAGTTGACCTGAGTTTCATGTTTAATGAATAAAGTAAATAATAATAATAATAATACTACGCCAGAGTCGAAGAAACAGAACTGGAAAAAATCACGAAATATCGCGACCTGGCCATCGCGAACTACACAGCTATGGATGAAACATGTAACCGTGATACCCGTTGTCATCGGGGCACTTGGTACCATGTCCAAGAATTTTACAAAACGCATCAAGAAATTGCAGCTTCCTGCAATAACACCAGCAGAACTGGAAAAAACTGCTCCATTCCATTCCATTCCATTCCAAATCTTATTCTATTCTATTCTATTCTATTCTATTCTATTCTATTCTATTCTATTCTATTCCATATCTTATCCCATCCCATCCCATCCCATCCCATCCCATCCCATCCCATCCCTTATCCCATCCCATCCCATCCCATCCCCTATCCTATCCTATCCTATCCTATCCTATCCTATCCTATCCTATCCTATCCTATCCTATCCTATCCTATCCTATATTCTATTCCATTTTAAGAAGATACTTGGTGGATACTTAGGATGCTGGCAGCAACCCGCATCAACCATTAGCACCAGTCAATGGTATTTGTGATGCATTTTTAAATGTTCAGTTGACTGAGTTTCATGTTTAACGAATAAAAATTAACAACAACAACAACAACAACAACAACTAAAGTAGCTCAGCCTGCCAAACCAGAAAGTTCTCTGGAAAATAAAATAAAATAATTAAAAAAAATAATAATAATAACCAGCAAAGGAAGAAATGATAAGATTGCAAAGCTGAATGACTCAACTGCCAAGGAAACTGGGGTCAATTTTTTTTTTAGGTGCCATTAAAACGCTCAGCCGCCAAGATTCGATCCCTCAACAGCCAAGACAGGAAGTGCCCTTCTCCTCCTCCCAAAGAGGGGGGGGGGAATCAACCTGTTTTCCAAAGCACCCCAACGCAGGACAAGAAATTAATCAAGGAGAGAAGCAACCTAGACTTAAGGAAATTTCCTATCGGTGAGAACGACTTGCCTCCAGAAGTTGTGGGTGCTTCAACACTGGTTTTGAAGAAGTGATTGCACAACCATTTGTCTAGAATAGGAGAGGATCTCCTGCCTGAGCAGGGGCTCTTCCTTCCTTCCTTCCCTTTTCCTTCCTTTTCTTTCTTTCCTCCCTCCCTCCCTTCCCTTTCTGTCTTTCCTCTGTCCCTTTCCTTCCTTCCCTTTCTTTTTTTCTTTCCTCCCTTCCCCTTCCTTTCCTTTATTCCCCTTTCCTTCCTTTCCCTTTCCTTCCTTCCTTCCCTCCCTTCCCTTTCTGTCTTTCATCTGTCCCTTTCCTTCCTTCCCTTTCTTTTTCTTTCTTTTTTTCTTTCCTCCCTTCCCTTCCCTTCCTTTCCTTTACTCCCTTCTTTTCCCTTTCCTTCCTTCCCTTCCCTTTCCTTCCTTCCTTTCCATTTCCTTCCTTCCTTCCCTGTCTTTCCTCTGTCCCTTTCCTTCCTTCTGTCCATTTCCTTCCTTCTTTCCCTTTCTTTCCTCCCTTCCCTTCCTTTCCTCCCTTCTTTTCCCTTTCCTTCCTTCCTTCCTTGAGCAGGGGCCCTTCCTTCCTTCCCTTCTTTTTCCTTCCCTTTCTTTCTTCCCTCCCCTTTTCCTTCCTTCCTTCCCTTCCTTTTCTTTCCCTTCCCCTTCCTTTTCCGTCCTTCCCTCCCTCCCTCCTCCGCAAACCTCAGTCCCTTTCAGCACTGATGATATCATCTAGTTTGGTCATGAAACAACTGAGCCCAAAGAGCACCAAGGACCCTCTCAGTTCAATCCCAACCGACCAACAATTCTGGGAAAAGCCACCTAACTCCAAGAAATCCATTCAGAAAGTGGGCTCTTATTCCACTTCTTCAAGGCAGGGGTGGGAAAAGCGGTCGCTTACCTGAAACCCCCTGCACGACCTTCTCGATCGGAGGCAAGGTCTCCTTCCGGAGGGGTCGGCCGAGCGATCCTTCTTGGGGGCTGAAAAGTCCAGAGCCCTCGGACAGTTTCTTACGGCCGCCGGCCGAACCCATGGAGCGGCAACTGCCTATTGCACTGGTAAAGAGATTGGTGTGTTCATCGCTACTGGCCGGCTCGGAACTCGGAGTGAACCTCCCCAGCGGGAGGTTGGGAGGAGAATCGGAGCAGTCTATCTGCAAAGGGGTCTGTAATCCCAAAGTCCGGGGCCCGTTTTCGGCAGTCTCCCGCCGGGACCACTGCTCCTCTCGTCCCAGCAGCCCCTTGGGGGGCGAGAGGTGCGGGCAAGTCATGTGGCAGCGATGTTTCTCCTTATGCTTGTACCTCTCGCCCACGGCTTCCTTGCCGAACCGGTAGCGCTTCAGGGACTCCAAGACCGTCCGCGAAGAAGAGCCGGCGGGCGCCAAGGCCTCGAGGGAGACCGGCGACTGCTCCGAGGAGCGGTGTTCCCGATGTTTGTGACGGTGACGGTGTTTGTGCTCCAGCATCCAGCTGTAGGCCATCTCGGGCGGGACGCTGGGGTGGTAGGTGCTCATGGAGAGAAGCGGGGCCCGGCTGGCGGTCAGGAAAGCCTCCTGGCGCAACAGCTTATGTTTCTTCTTGTGGTACTTGGCGGGGTTGAGGAGCAGGTGGCCGGCGTGCATGTAAGAGGGGGGAGGAAGCGGGGTGGTGAACGAAGGGGAGGGGGGAGGAGGGTAAAGGGTGGGGGGGTAGCGTCCGTAATAGCCCAGGCCGATGGGTGCCGCCAGGGGCGAAGGAGAATAAGGCATGCCGTAGGAAGGGTAGAATCCGGTACCAGAAAGCGGGAAACTGAGACCGTGCATGAAGGGCATCTCGGCCATGGCTTCCCGCATTTTGGGGGGGCGCCCCCGCTTTTTCTTCAAATCTGGCTTGCGGATGTAGTGCAAAGGGTCCAGGGAGAAGCTGGGGTGGCTGTAGATGCTGTTGAAGTTGATACGGAAGATGGTGGGCAACAGGTCCCGGGGGATGAAATGGTGGCTGCGGTGCGTGATGCGGATTTCGCTCAGCCGGCTGATCAGCTCCTCCAGCTCGGCCAGGAAATCGGGGTCTTGCCTGCCCCGCAGCTGCGGGAACTTCTTCTTCCGCTTGCGCTTGGGCCGCTTCAGTTTGTCGTAGGCCAGGTAGTCGTGGCCGCGGCGCTTGCACTTGTGCTTGTGTTTCTCCTTCAGGCTGCTCAGGACGGCCGAGGCCTCGGGGGCCACCAGAGAGACGTGTTCGAAGGAGTGCCGGCGCTTTTTCGGCCCACAGAACTTCTCCGCCCGGTCCGACGTGCTGTTGTTATCGGTGCCGATGCCGCTGTCGCTGGGCACGGTCTCGTCGCTGTGGGACTCGCTGATGGGGGACGGGGTGGCTTCCTTCAGGGAGCCCAACTCGCTCATGTGGGAAGGGGAGTTGGGGAGCAGTGTAGGGGGAGAGAGCCTCCTCCTGGCCCGCGAGGCCTTCCTCATCGCCAAGGTTTGAACCACGCTCCCTTGTCGGCTGTGCAGGTGGAAACAGGGCACCGAGTTGGGCTCCACAAAGCTCATGTCGCTGCTGATGGGGCTCTGTCCTCCGCTGGTGCCCGACGACTGTGAGCAAACAGGGGACGGAAGAACCTCGGGGTTGCCACTGGGGCCGGATGGGAGCAAGGGGGCGCCTGCTTGTCCCAGCATCCCTCCGCTGGCCTGTTGGCTTGATTTCTCCAGGACGGCAAAACTCGAACCAGCCGCCAGAAGGCTGGTCAAGCTGGCTTTGGGCTTCCTACCCCGTCTCTTTCCTATGTAGATGGTTCCTTTCTTGCTGACGTTGATCTGCTGGCCCAGTTTGGTGCTGAAGGTGGCCGCCAAGCTGGAGACGCTAGTGTGGGCTTTGGATTGGACTTTCCCCTTACTGGACTCCGTCGAGGAAGAGGAGAGGATTTGGTTCAGGATCTTCTTCCTCTTGAGGGTCTTCATCTTGTTGATTTTCCGAATGATGGTTTTCACCAGCTGACCGTTGCTACGTTTGACTTCCTTGTGCTCTGGTTCGCCTTCTGGATCGCTGGCGCTGCCGGCGCTCGAGTCTCCGTTGTCTTCGGTGTTGCTGAGCTGGCTGCGGCTTTCGAAAAAGTCCCCGCTCGGCGGTGGTAGCGGTGGTTGGTCCATGGTGTCTTCCGTCTTGTCCGCCTTTTCGGGAGTGACAAAAGGGGCGACGGAGAGGATGGGCGGCTTCATCTTGATCCCCAAGCGGATCTGCCGTTTCGGACGGCCCCGCTTCTTCGGGAAAGCTTGCCCAGCGAGGCTCTGGCGGAGGGAAGGGATCTCCACTTCTGGGTGCAAGACGGGAGGTTCCTGCTCTTCCTTGGACTGCACCGAGAAGACTTTGGAGGCGGGGATTTTCAAGGCCCGTTTGGGTGGCCCTTCCAACTGGGGCATCTCCTTGGATTTTGACCGGTTCCGTTTGGACTTGTACATGTCGGGGAACAAATCGTCCGACAGGCAGCCCACGGACGCTGGCATGTGGGTGCTGTAGAACTTCCCTGATTCCTTCTCCACGCTGCCCAGCAGAGAGAGGGACTGCAGGCTGCTGCTTTTGCTCAGCTTGGGTAAATGGCGTTTCAGGAAGTCGTGTTCGGCGAAGGTGGGCGGGGGGCCCGTGCTTTCAAAGAGCTTGGCCTGGTCCAGGCTGCTGCTGCTGCTGGACAGTGGACCACAAGAGACGTTTTTTAAAAGCTCGGGCCTCTCTAACTCGAGCTCTTTGGGAGACCGGCAGGCTTTCGTCCAACGGGGTTTCCTCCCTTTCCGTTTCTTGAAGGCCTTGCCCTGGGAATCGGCGCTATTGCTCCCCCTCAGGATCTCCAGGCCTTGCCTCGGTTTCCCTAAGGAGCTCATGGACCCCATCTTTAGAAAGGGCTTGTTGTTGAACAAGCTGGAGAAGCTGACCACCGAAGGGGCGATGGAAGCATGGAGGTTGCTTTCGCTGACTAGGCTGGCTTTCTTGCCTGAGGCTAGACCCAGTTTCGATTCCTCCGTGCAGACTGAATTGGGATTGCTCAACTCTCGAACGACCCCTTTGCTGGTCGCGTACAAGCCGGGATTCCCCAGCCTGTTCATACCAGAGCGGGCGCCGTCGGAGGCAGATGGTGTCTTGCTGCTCTGTTCGGACAGGCTGTCTAAGAGATCCGGCATGTGGTTTGAATGTAACGGGTTGGAAGGGACCTGAGATAGTGCCGTTGGGGGGCTATGGGTTAGAGTAGCAACCGAGGCAGTTGGCGAAGGGGAGGGAAGGCCCCCCTCCCCTACAGCACTAAACGGAGACTTGGCAGTCGAGATCTCCGAAGCGCCTCCGGCGGTCCTAAATTCAGGAGAAGTGCAATACACCGGGAGATGTTTCTCTTGCTTTGAGGATTCGGATGGGCCCCTTTCGCTGGGGGAGATCTCCTGCTGACTGCAGGCCCCGTCTTTGCCTCCGCTGGAAACTTCTCGTTGGGACGGCAACTTTTCCGGGAGGCTGTCTTTGCTTTGTCTCACCAGGTGCTTTTCAAATGGTTTACTGCCCCCAGCCCCGTCCTTCAGAAGCCCAGCGGGCACGTGGCTTTCCAGAGGGGCCAAGCCGCTGCCACAACACCGCTTGTAGGGCTCTGCCGGAAGGTTAGCGGTGTCGGCTTTCAGCACCCCCAAGTCTTTGCTGGCTAAGCCCACCAAATTGGGGCTCCCAATCGATTTCTTCCCAGAGTCCTTTGAAGTCAGAGAGGCGAGAATGCCCACCCCCATGTGTTTCTTGCCGGATTCTTTTGCCATCAACCCAATTAGGGGACCGGCTGCTGATGGCTTCTTTCCGGACTCTTTGTTAATCGATCCGCTCGAGGTCCCAAAACTCTGCGGCTTCTTTGCCGAGTCCTTGCTGACCGATCCGACCGGACCATCGGACCCCAGGTGTCTCTTTGCAACGTCCTTATTAAATAATCCAACTGCGCTTCCAGGTAACGGAAGCTTCTTCAGTGAGTCTTTATGAATCAATCCGGGCGGACTGACCATGCTGAGGGATTTTTTCCCGGGATCCCTGTTGACCAATCCGATGGGACTGCTGGTCCCCATCTGCAGCCTTTTGCCGCAGTCTTTGCTGGCCATGCCAGATGGTGCCATGCTTGTCACAAGCAGTGGTTTTTTTCCGCCTTCCTTGCTGACAGGTCCGACCGGAGAGCTAAGAACGGATGGCCTTTTCTCATAGTCTTTGTTGGTGAGCCCAGACATGCTTGGACAGGACCCTGGCTGTTTTTTGCTCCCGTTTTCCTTGCTAATTAAACCCCCGGAACTGCCACCGGCTCCTGATGCTTTCTTGGCAAACTCCTTGTTGCCCAAGTCGAGGCTGAGGGAGCCACTTGAAATTGGTTTCTTCAGGAAGTCCTTGGTCGCAGTAGCCGCAGCGGCCCCAGCCGTCGGCAGCTTCTTTCCGGAATCCTTAGCAAATCCGGACATGACCGTCATGGGCAGCTTCTTCTGCTTTGGTTTGGAAGACTTTGCTGGAGGGCAGGTTGAGATCAGCTGGGCCAGTTTCTCCGTTACCGTCGGGGGTCCGTTGACCTGGGCTCTCTCTTTCAAGTCGGGATCGCGGCCGCCGATGGGAGCGGAGAATGCTGATTTCACGTACTCCAGCCCTTCTGAACGCAGCGGGGAAAGCTTCTTCAAAGCTGGGCTGCTGGCTCTGGCTCTGCTCTCAGCAAGCAAGCTTTCCACCGTTGCTGGGCCAGCCTCTCCACTTTTCTTGTACAGCTTCGAGGGGTCCTACAAAATAAAAAAAAAAAAATACTTTAAAGCATCCATGCTGTGGAGAAAAGTGTACTTGTTATCAAAACTGAATAATACTGCAGACTGGAAAATCCCGGTATGCCGGGATTAGATTATTTTTTTAGAAAAAACATATTCACAAACCACATTATTGACAAAGTGAACCCAAGTCTTGCTCACAAATATTTTAAGACTGGAAAGCGTGGACAAGATAAAGAGGGGAGGGGGGAACACCCAACAAAGTCCGGTTGCCTTTTGAAAAAGCACCTTTGAGGCAACCATGACCTGGATGACTGAGAATCTCCGCGGACACAGGGACTGAAAGCAAAGGGGGAAAAAAGACTCAAGGTGACAGAAGATAAGTTTTTTATTTTTTAAGACAAAAACTTTTAAGCATGATGTCTCAGGGCAGAAATAAAAATCCTACTACTAGAATGCAGGAAAGAAACCAAAGACCTTACAGAATATATATATATTCAATACTTGTGATATGTCAGCAGTAGCTGGAGGCCTCATATCCCACGTAGCATTCAATTATGGTCAAAGTTCCCCTCGTACATATGTGCTAGTCATTCCCAACTCTAGGGGGCGCTGCTCATCTTCATTTCTAAGCCAAAGAGCCAGCGCTGTCCGAAGACGTCTCCGTGGTCATGTGGCCGGCATGACTAAATGCCAAAGGCGCACAGAACGCTGTTCCCTTCCCACCAAAGGTGGTACCTATTTTACTACTTGCATTTTTTTACAGGCTTTCGAACTGCTAGGTTGGCAGAAGCTGGGACAAGTAATGGGAGCTCACCCCGTTACGCGGCACTAGGGATCCGAACCGCTGAACTGTCGACCTTTCGATCGACAAGCTCAGCGTCTTATCCACTGAGCCACCATGCCCCTTTTGATTCCTTACTACTTTGAAGGAAAAACAAGGAGGAGGGCAATCGTATGCCCTGAACCCCTCAACTTGCAAAACTAGTTGCTGGATGGGGCTATAAGGAATTTGGAAAAGGAGATACTTAAAAATTTTCTCCCCAATGCTTAGGTTTTCTCCTTCTTTCCAAAGATCTCTTCCTATTTAAAAACACATCTATACGTCCAATTCCTGACTGAAAGGAATTCCCTCATTTATCCCAGGTTGCTAATTAATATTTCATTCGTAGGTCCTTGAGCATGCTGGGGGATTTCCAGAACAGAAGGGAAAAAAGAAAAAAGAAAGAAAGACCTGACTATTTAACCAGAGACATAATTTAGTGTAGGCAAGGAGGCATAATTAGGGGAGGAAAGGAAGCCCATAAAACACACACACACACACACACACACACACACACACACACGCTTACTGGAGCCGTGCCATAAATGCTCTACAATGAGCTACAAGGCTTAATCTCACATGCTGGTAGAAAGATGAAGCAAAATGGAGCAAGTAAACTGACTAAAGAACCATAGCTAGCTAGGTAGATGGGGGAGAGAGAGAGAGAGAGGAAGGGAGACACACAGAGAGAGAGAGAGAGAGGGAGAGAAGGAGACAGAGAGAGAGAGAGAAAGAGTCGGAGAGAGAGAGACTGAAAGAGACAGAGAGAGAGAGAAAGAGACAGAGGGGGAGAGAGAGGGAGAGAGAAAGAGACAGACAGAGAGGGAGAGAGAGAGAAAGAGACAGACAGAGATGGAGAGAGAGAGAGAAAGAGACAGAGGGGAAGAGAGAGGGAGAGAGAGGGAGAGAAAGAGAGAGAGAGAGAGAGAGAGAGAGAGAGAGAGAGAGAGAGAGAGAGAGAGAGAGAGATGGGCTAGGGAAGTTTGTTTTTTATTTACTCAAAATATTTATTTCTCAAAAGCCTTACAACAAATGATAAAGCAATCAGTTGCAACCGCAGAGAACATAAGCAAACAACCAGCGCAGAAACCAAAATAACATCTTGGAGAAAGAAACGTATTTTCAACAGATGCCTACCAAATGTGTGAAGACATTTAAAGGTCTGAGAGGTACAGGTAGTCCTGGACTTACAACAGTTCATTTAGTGACCGTCCAAAGTTACAATGGCACTGGGAAAAAAAAGGGACTTATGGCCGTTTTTCCACCGTTACGGCCTATGCAGCATTCCCCACGATCCTGTGATCAGACTTCAGGTGCTTGGTAACTGACTCATACTTACGACGGTTGCAGTGTCCCGGAGGTCACATGATCCCCTTCTGCGACCTTCTGACAAGCAAAGTCAGAAGCCAGGCTCGCTTAACAACCAGGCTACTAACTGGTTAGCAACTGCGGTGCTTCCCTTAACAACGGTGGCAAGGAAGGTTGTAAAATGGGGCCAAACTCACTTAACAAACTTCTTGCTTAACAATAGACGTTTTGGGCTCAATTGTGGTCGTAAATCAAGGACTAGAACAGGGGTCTGCAACCTTAAACACTCAAAGAGCCATTTGGACCCGTTTCCCACAGAAAAGAAAACACCGGGAGCCACAAAACCCTTCCGGTGCCTGACTATTTCTTGAGTGGCCACCAAACTAGCATATGTAGTTGAATTAAACGTTTCTTCTCTTGGATTTATCCATGGTTGGCCTACAGGGGGCTGAAAAGCTCAATAAATTGTGTGCCGGCGGGTGTCACACATTGGCGGTTGTGACGCTTATTTTGAGTGACAGGGAGCCGCAGCAGAGGGGTGAAAGAGCCACATGCGGCTCCAGAGCCGCAGGTTGCTGACCCCTGGATTAGAAAGTTCTGAATCTGGAGACAAGAGAAAAAGGGCTTTTTTGTGTTAGCTACGCACCTCACTTCTAAAAAGGTAAGCCGCTCTGGAAAGGTCCCAGATACAAGATACAACAGTGTGATGGCCTTTGTGATTTTGTTTGATTCTGATTTTTCTAGAAAAGGTCAAGGGTAGGAGAAAGGACAGACACCCAGCTCAAAATGCCAAATGCACGATCTGATTTTTTAAATTTTTTTTTTTAAAAAAACCACATACATATTGTTTGCAAAAGGAGACCTAAACGGATAATCCGAACAATCATATCGACGCTTCAGAAAATGTTTCAAAGGAAGAAAACCAAGCAATAATAAGCAAACAGGAAATAAAAAAAACAAAAAAAAAAAAACCCGGCCACACCACGAGAACGTGACCGCCTGCTTTAGGTTAAAAAACACAGATGTGGGAACCGAACCCACAACAACAACAAGCGGTTTGAAGGGAAATTAAGAAAAAGAAAAAGGCATAACAAAACAATCACTTGGGTTTTAGGTCGATCTATTGATATTTGTGGGGTTTAAAATATTTTAATATTTTAAAAGATGAGTGATTGGGGTAGACAGGCAGTCATCTTGGGAATCCCCTAGGTAGCCTAACGAAGAGAAAGGACTGAGGGGAGACATGATAGCAGGGTTCCAATATTTGGGGGGAGGGCTGCCCCAAAGAAGAGGGGGTCGGCCTATTCTCCAAAGCCCCTGAAGGCAGCGGATGGAAACTAACCAAGGAGAGAAGCAACCTGGAATTAAGGAGAAATTTCCTGACAGTGAGAACAATTAACCAGTGGAACAGCTTGCCACCAGAGGTTTGTGGGTGCTCCAACCCTGGAGGCTTCCAAGAAAAGATTGCACCACCATTTGTTTGGGATGATAGGTAGTCCTTGATTTACGACCACAATAGAGCCCAAAATTTCTGTGCTAAGCGAGACAGTTGCTAAGTATGTTTTGACCCAGGTTTGCAACCTTCTCTTGTTCAAGAGAATCAAGCTGTAGTTGTTAAGCGAAATCTGGCTTGCCTGTTGACTGGGCTGGTCAGAAGGTCACATGCACACTGGACCGTCGTAAGTCTGTATCGATGGCCAAGCGTCTGAATTTTGATCGCGTGACTGTGGGGATGCTGCAACGGTCGTGAGTGCGATCACTTTCTTCAGTGACGTAGTCACCTCCAACGGTCACTGAATGAACTGTTTTAAGTCGAGGATTACCTGAATAAGGAATCCTGGCACTGGCAGAGGGTTGGACTAGAAGACCTCCAAGGTCCCCTTCCCTTCCAAATCAGAAACATTTACCTGCAAGCTGGACAGGCCTCTCTTGAGTTCCAGCACGTAAGGAGGGGGACAGAGTCCCACACCAGCTCACGAACGGTAGCTACTATTTAGAGCAGGAAAGGCAACTTCAGGAAATCTAGATAGCTACGTTTAGATAAAGGTAAAGGTTCCCCTCGCACATATGTGCTAGTTGTTCCTGACTCTAGGGGGCGCTGCTCATCTCCGTTTCAAAGCCGAAGAGCCAGCGCTGTCCGAAGACGTCTCCGTGGTCATGTGGCCGGCGTGACTCAACGCCAAAGGCGCATGGAAAACGCTGTTCCCTTCCCACCAAAGGGGGTCCCTATTTTTCTACTTGCATTTTTTACCTGCTTTCGAACTGCTAGGTTGGCAGAAGCTGGGACAGGTAACGGGAGCTCACCCCATTACGCGGCACTAGGGATTCGAACGTTCTCGGCGTCTTAGTCACTGAGATCTAAATATCAGTGTTTCAAGCCTCACATCTCTCATTCCAGATCTTGCTTAACAGCCACAGGTGACCTGACTGCCCCAACCTTCAAAAGAGCTTTCAATTGCATTGCAATCTTTGCATTACACAGGCCCACAGAGATAAGCCTTTCTGGAAACACCTGGTTTTTTTTTTTTCCCCTGAGAAAGCACCAGCTTTTCAAGAGGCACCCTTCAAACAAGGGGTAGGGAAGGAGGGGTGGGTGGGCTGCCCAAAGGCGCCCCGCAGCTTCATCACATCACACCATTTCCCTCCCCACCCCCCAAAGCAGTGGAGTGTTCTGGCCTCTTCTTGAAGCTTCCTTTCTCGTCTCGCTCAAAAATCCCAGAGAGGCTCCGTTGCAAAACTCTAGGCCCCGCTGTGACAGACAAGAGGTAAGATGCCTCGCTTGGTTGTTTACTTTGAAAGCTTTTGGCACCGGAGAGGTTTTGTAGCAGGGGAGAAGGAAAGAAAGAGAGAGAGGGAGGAAGGGAGGGAGGGAAGGAGGTGAGACTGG